GTTCTTGGAAGGAGTAAGTGAGTCATACGTACGTGTTCTTTCTCTCTGAGGCAGCGTGGTAGGGGCTCGGCTTCTGGGCCCAAGCTTGCCGCTCTCGAAGCCCAGATGTCCGTGTGGCTGCTTTCTTTCACGCCAGGCTACTGTGCAGTAATTCGAGTTTGTCCTTAGTCATCAGTGAACAGAGGTCCCTGCAGATTGTGTCAGATACACAGGTCCAGCTCCCAGTGACTGCTTTTAGGAACTAGAAGTAGTTAGAAAGCCAGTCCTGTGAAATGCCATCCTGGAAGGTCACGCTCACTTTACCTGGTCTGAGTTTGGAGGAGCCCAGGGCTTTCTCTGGAGGCTCCGGGGCCATCAGCTGCTGCAGGAGAGCACGGAGGCCCCTCTTGCAGTGCCGTGTCCCAACAGCTTCTACACTGGTCGGCTGGGGAGGCCTTCCCAACCTCCTGATGTGTCCCCCCGGCTTACTGGCTCGGGCGCTGAGGTCAAAGCTGCCACGCACTGTGACCTGGGCCAGTCACTAACCTCACTATAGATGGTGTGGTGACCTCTGATCCCTCCTCGGCATCTGAGCCTGAGAAGACCTAGGACCTGAAAGAGCTTTGGGGAGCCGGCGGCTCAGACACTGCCCGGATGAAACGAGTTTCAGGAATCCTCCCTTCGTTGTAGGGAGTCTCCTCAGGCAGGCTGCAGATTGGGAAGGTGTGGGGGGTTGGCGTTCATATCCTGTTTGACAGGATTGGCAGAAGGAAGTCTGGTCCTGCAGATGGGCCTCTGTGCAGGTGGGAGGCCGGGGCGGCATGTAGTCCATGGGAGAATGGGCCTCCTTGGGTTGGGCTGAGGTGCCTCCTGTCTTCTGGCTTCCACTGTGGCCAGAGCGCCCCCACCTTGCTGTCCCGACAGGCATTTGCAGGGTCTGCAAGGCACGTGGTCGGCCAGCTGTGCCCATGTCTTTCCTCACATCTGTGACTCTATCTTCTCGTGTCTTCTGTGAGGCTCCCTGACCTCCAAGGTGTGGGGGCAGCCTTCCAGGCCTATGACAGGGCCTGAGCAGCCCTGAGCTCTGCCCCTCAGCAGTGTTGCCAAGTACCCACTGCCAGGCCCTGAGCTGCGGGGGACGGGGGAGGGGATGCTCCTGTTCCAGCCCCAAGTGGGAGTGACAGGGGCCCTGGCCAGGTAAGGGCACTGGCCCAGGAGGGCAGGCCTGTAGGGGTCTGAGAAGAGTGCAGGCAGTGAGATTGGACGTGTCCTGAACCATCTCCTAAGGCCCCCAGGGAGAGGGAGCCCCTGCCGGAACAGGAATATTCCTTCGTGCACCCAGAATTGGCTTTCTTCCCTTCCCTGGCTCATTTTCCCTATTTTCCTTGCCTGGGGGCAGCAGGAGAGGGAGGACAAGTGAGGGGAGCTGCCGCCCCCTGTGAGGCGGGGGAGTGGGCATTAGGTCCAAATCCTGGTGCCTTGTGGCCTTGAGCCTCACCTGGGAGGATGACAGTGGGAACAGGGGAGTTGTCATTTCTGCCTGTAGTAGCCAGCCTCCCTGTGTGTGTGCTGAGCCGAGGTGGGGAGCTTGCCACGGACTCAGAAAAAGTCATTATGTTCAGCTTGGAGAATCTGGCCCCCTCCCTTGCTGGCTCAGTTGTATTTGCAATGCAGACAAGAGAGATGTCTCATCCAGCCTGGGATTCTGGTGCTGAGCCTGCTGGGGATGACCTTGGGTGTTTCACACCCCCTGCACTTGCCACCCTGACCATTTGAGGGAAGGAATGTTTAGGGACAGAACTTCTCCCAGAGCCGATGCCTACTCATCTTGCATCCCAGCCCCAGGCCCCTGGGAGCCCACCCATTTAAAGGCAGATCCCAGCGGGGCTGAGTGCTAGCATGGGCGGTCAGTTGCCCATGGGATGGGTTTCTCACCTGTAAAATGGCCTGGTGGCACCCACTGTGTGGGGTGTAAGACCCCTCAGTCAGCCTTGAAACAGACAATCTGGAAAGGATCTCAGGAGCGGTGGACTGTCCACAAACCACTTTTGGCCAGCTTCTTTGGGAGGGATCTTGTCTGTGTTAGGGTGTTAGGATAAGAAGCACTAATCTGGGCTGGAATGGGTTGGATTAGGCAGATGTTAAATGGATACCAGGCATCTTAATATTACTGAGGTATAATTTAGATACAGCAAGATTTATCTGCTGCGCAACATGACAGATACACACAGTCCCATAACCACCACCGCAGTCCTAACATGGAACCTTCCCGTCGTTTCCAGAAGACCCTTGCCATCAGTGGGCTCCCTCCATGCCTAACACCCGGCAAGGACCAATCTGCTTTCTGTCCCTTTAAGTTTGCCTTTTGTAGAATGTCATAAAAAAGGAGTTCTGCAACCCAGTGTTGTCTTTCGTATCTGACTTTTTCACTGAGCATAATGCCTTTGAGGTTCAGTGATGTGGCTGAGCGTGTTAGTGGATGTTCCCCTTTGTTGCCCGGGCGTGTTCCACTGTGTGGATACAGGGTGGTGGTTCTTCCAACGTCTGTTGGTAGACATTTGGGTTGTTTCCAGTTTGGGGCTATTAATGAGTAAAGCAACTTTGAACCTTCATGCGTGTGTCTTTTTGTGGACATGTGCTTTTGTTTCTCGGGTAAATAGGTAGGGGCGGGATTGCAGGTTTTGTGTGTGGTGAGTGTATGCTTAACTTCATGAACAGCCAGCCAAACTGTTTTCCAGCTGCATTGTTTTGCATTCCCACCAGCAATACGTGAACATTCCCGTACGCTGCGCCCCCGTCCTTGCCAGCATTTGGTGATACCAGTCTTTTAATCTTGCTGATTCTAGTGGATATGTAGTGGTATCTTATTGTAGTTTCTATTTGCTTTTCCTAAAAGACAATGACATTGAGCACCTTTACATGTGCCTATTTGCCATTTGTGACATCATCTTTGAGTACCCGATACCTTTCAAGCAAATGTTTATTCCAAGATGGATTAATTTATGAAGCACGTATATTAAGTGCCCACCACATCACATAATGCTGAGTGTTAAGTTGTAGGGGTGAAAAGGACTTTGTGTACTCCCCCCCCCCAAAAAAAAACCCATTTATTGAGCACCTGCTATTTGTGAACTGCTTTGATGGCTGAAGAAACTGCACTTGAAGCAGGTTGCAGAAAAACTAATTGGAAGAGATGACAAGAAGGTTCAGGTCTACAAGAAGGTTTGGGATTCCAGGTTTCCCTGCTGTCCAAAACCAGAGCATTTTATGAAACCTTATGTGAGCCAAAATGGCCTAAAGCAAAGAAGCAGTTACTGGTACTTTATATGAAAAAATTTTTGAGTGTTCCTAGACCCCCAAAAAATCACCTGTCCTGGCTTTTCTGATACCTTCGGACAGATGCACGACATAAATGGAGATAAAGCCCAGGTGCTCCCAGACACAGCTTGGAGCTCTGGCCACTTGATGCCGAGACGCTGAGTGTGGCTCCCGGGGAAGGCGCTGGGGGGCATCCCTCGCTGCTCTCGGGTGCCTGCTACCCCAGACGGGCTCGTCTTGCCGCAAAACCGGTGCTGAATGCGATTTTGGCTTTTTGCCTTTTTTCATGACAGTGAAAATCCTGTGTGGCTCTCAGTGAAAACAGGTACTAATGTAGGTCTTCTGGAAAAGCGAAGTGGCACAGTGCAGGCTTTGGAAAAGCAGGGGATACCTGTATCGTGTGTCGTAAGGACCTTTAGGAACTTTAGAGACACGTGAACTGCTTTAGGGGCACAGAAGAGAAGCCTTCACAAGAGGTTTCGTGCAGGAGGCAGCCCTGCAGTTAGGCCTCAGAAGTAGGTGTCACCGGGCAGGAGGGGTGGTTCTGGGGAACAGCATTTGCAGAGAGACGTGGGCCGAACAGGAATGCCAGAAGGTGGGCGGTGGTGGGCGGGGCTAGAATTTAGAGTCCGCTTCTCTGGTCTCAGTCTGGTAGGATGGGGGGTGTGGGGATCCTGTGGCCAGAAGGTTGAGAAAAGTGCAGGCTCTGGTCTTGTGGTCAGGTCGGGAAGGGGGGCAGTTGGGGGTCAGGCTAGATGTGCCTGCAGCCGCCACCTCTAGAAAGCAGGGTGTCGACACTGGGGCCTGATGTGTCCTCAGCCTCCAGCCAGTGGGAAGCGGCCTCTTTTCAAGAGTGCTTGGTTCATAGAAAGCCGACTGCGGGAATTGGGGAGTAGATGACCGAGTCTGTTCCCTCCTGAAGGAAAGCCCAGCTGTAGAGACAAATCGAGAGCATCTCAGTATGTGTGCTGCAGGTTTGCTGAGGCCGCTCGAGTATGTGGAAGTGGGGGCGCCGCTGTCTACTTTTAGTAAATTAGACATTAGGACCTTCTTGCTGAGCAGTGGAGATGCTTCTCGTCCCACATGCTGGCCCTGTTCTTGCTGTGAGTCCAGCCAGCCTTCCATCTGGGCTACGAAGCGAGTAGGAAGTCCCCATCGCCCGGCGACGGCTGTGACAAGGGGAAGGCTCCCAGCTCCGCGCTCCGCTGTGCTGCTGGAGCTCAAAGCCAAGGGCTCTATTTCAGGCCATACGCTGCTCGGCAGCTGGGGTTGAGTTGCTCCTGAACAGGGAGACCGGCACACGGGTGACTGGAGAAAGCAGCCGCAGCGGGAGGCTCCCCACAAAGAAAAGTAGAATAGTAGGCTTTTTTCCAGTGAAAATTCTGTCTCAAGCGTGTATTTTACAAATATATATTGGTACTGTGTCGAGTGCAGAAAAGCAAAGGAAAGACAATCATCTCAAATTCCACAGCTGTAGATGAAAGAGAAAGAGTTAATCCTGCCTAGTTTCCTATCACCCGAAGATAGGCAGGCAGTGGGTGTGTAGGCAGGTAGTCGTACTGCTGGGATTTTTCTTTATGGAGGTTTTGACTTAAATGTTTGTGCGTGTGTTATTTTTAGCCCCCGAATCCACTCATCGGGAGAGGGGGAAGCAGTTGACTGCTTCTGCATTCCTTGTGTTCATTCTGGTCTCCTCCCTGCAGAACCCAGCCCTTGCTGACATCTACACGGAGCATGCCCATCAGGTGGTGGTGGCCAAGTACGCGCCCAGCGGGTTCTACATCGCCTCTGGAGGTACCTGTGTGCGCGTGGCTCGTGGACGCGTGTGGTGTGGCCCAGGGGTTCCCCAGGCCAGACTGGACTCCTGGCCATAGGGTGGTGGGAGGTGGGGGGTGTGGTAAAGGGAGGGGAGCTGCGGCAGGGGGAGCCAGTGTGATTGGTTTCATTTGGGGCTGACAAGGAAAGTATAAGCCGCCAAAAAGCCCCATTGCAGAGCTTTGCAGTTGGCGGTGTTCCAGCTGGTTCCAGCTCAGAGGTCAGCAGAAACGCTCCTGTGAGGTTGGCCAGAGGCCTTTGTGGGTAGCTGTATCATGATGTTTGGGAGCTCATTTTGTGTGTGTGTGTGTGTTTTGTGAATTGCAGCTTTGTCCTGTGTCACCTTTATTCATTAGCTGCTCCTTTCCCAGTTCTGTCAATGCGGGCCTCAGGCAAGCGCTCCTTTCCACTCCAGCCAGGCTTTTGTGTGGCTCTGTGGGAGGCTGGCTGGGAGGAGGGACATAAAGATCTTTACCACGGTGGATGCTTTGTTCACCCACTTCTTTGAGGTAGATCTTTTACCGTTTGCAGATGAGAAGGGGAGGCACGGAAGTTAGCGTGGCCTCCCGTTTATTCACTCATTCGTTCATTCGCACACTCAGCAGATCCTGACTGCTTTGTCAGTGCCCAGCCCTGTCTCCGGCCTCAGGGGAAGCCAAGCAAGTGAGCGGGTGTGGGCCTGGGCCTTGTCAGCCTCCCCAGAGAGCAGCAGAGAGGAACGAATTGCTGAAAGAGCCCACTGGCCAGGAGAGGGGTCTCACATCCCTGCGGCTGTCCCTGGAGGGTTCGTCCCTTACACGCTGTGCGGCCTGCCTGGAATAACTTCTTCTTGGGCCCTTTCTCTCCCGGAAGCCAGACAGTGGATCCGGAGTAGCAGTGTGTGTGAAATGCCTGGGCCTGTCTTGCGCTGGTGGCCACCTGACAGCAGGTGACCGAAGTGTGTGCCACTGAAACCAGGACACGCCAGAGAGAGAGGCACGCTGGCTGATGGCTAAAGCCGGCGGTCGGGGCCGAGTGTAAAGAGCTTGGCCAGGAGTCTGGCCCAACGTGGGCACTTAATGATGGTGGTGTTAGGCTCACTCCAAATCTGTAAAACGTGCTCTAATTTATTATGCCTTGGTTTATTTTAGCCGTGTAATTTTTTTTTTTTTTTTTGGCTGGCCCTGCTTGCCAGGAAAATACCTTTTCCTTGAAAGCCCCAAGAAGTGGCCCTGGTGCCTTTTAAAATTATGTCTTCTCAGGAGAGAAGCGTGGTTGGCGAGGGCGCCGCTGCCTGCTTGGCACGGCTTCCCTACCCTGGCACGTGGAGCTGCAGGCCCGGCTGCTGAATCACGTGGGAGCCGGGCCGGCACTCCCGGGTCCCAGGGCAGGGTGCTCCACCAGCCAGAGAGCCGGGCTCTTCAGATCCTAATGCTAAATCAATGAGGAAGCCTGGCACAGAGACCATTGCAAAGGACAGTCCACCTAAGTAAAGGATCAGTTTGACATTTTTCTCCCGTGAAAGCGCCCTGATTTGGGCAGGAACTGAGGCAGGTTTGGGCTGCATATAGACCCAGGTGCTCTTGGGCGGAGATCACATTTACGTTTCTAGCCTGCTGGTCCCTTGAATCAACTGAAGACAAGGAAACATTCACTGCAGAGATTAGGTCCTGGGCTAAAAATAGTGTGGTTGTACAGGGTTTGGAGTGAGGAGGAGGGAGGCTGAGAAAGGGCTGTGCTCTCCAGCTAAGTGGGTTACGTGGTACCTGGGGTTCCTCAGGTTAGGGTGGGGGGGTCTCAGTACCTTGGGAAGCCTGTGGCTTGCTCCCAGATGGGGTTCCAGCCCTCTGTGGGACCTTCAGATTCCTGTGAGTCTGAATGGTCTATGTCATTGAATGATCGAACCTTCCAGAAGGCCTACTGTGTAATGAGCCCATGCCAGCCAGCCCTGAACAAAATGGTCAGTCTCTGCCCTTGGGTTGACATGCCCACAGTGCCATGTTCTCTTGTTCAGAGCCATTTCCAGGGCAAACCCAATTCCCTATTTCTAGCCGTGTCTCCCTTGGGTAATTTTAATGCTAGTGGTCTATACCCCATAGTCCGTCCCTTGGGCACCCACCAGGGCTGTGAATCTCGGGCTGCCCTCAGAGCATGCACCCAGGCCGCAGAGTGGCAGGCTTCCTAGGAGAGGGGCCCCATGCCCAGAGGAGAGGAGAGAAGGGTTGCTCAGGTGAGGAACGTAGGAAGAGGCCGTGCTGCAGAGCGGGCGAGCAGAGGCCTCCGTGGGCACTGGAAGGCCCACGTCACTCCCTGCTCCCTGTTGCCCCCCATGTTGCTAAGCTGCTGGGGCGAGGGGGCAGGGGGCAGGCTCACCCAGTCTGCTCCCCTTGATGCAGCGTATTGTCTGGAGAGGGAGATGCCTTCCCAGTGGGGGACAGAAGGAACTCTTTCCCCATCATCTCTGGCTTCTTGCAGGTGTCCTCTGCCCCCGGCAGGTGTCTTTGTTGTGTCCCCAGCACTCAGCACAGGGCTTGGCACCCATGGTTGGTCAGGATCTCGTGACTGCACAGGGGCTGCCCTCGTCAGTGGGGCCCGAGCACCTGGTCTCCATGCCCCACTGTCTCTTCCTAGCCCCAGCTGCTTCTGAAAAAGAATTAAATGTATGGAAGCAACCTAAGTGTCCCTCAATAGACGAATGGACATGGAAAATGTGGCATATATATATGATGGAATCGTGATGCGGTCGTAAAAAAGGACGCGATCGTGCCGTCTGAGACACTCCGGGAGGCCCTAGAGGGTATTACAGTAAGTAAAATAGACTGAGAAAGACAAAGACCATAGGATTCCATTTAAGAGTGGAATCTAAGGGGAAAAAAGGACAAACAAAAGCAGAATCAGACTATAAATACAGAGAACACACCACGGTTGCCAGAGGGGCGGGGGCGGGGGAGTGGGAGACACAGGCTCCCAGGTGTGCAGTGAGCGAGTCGTGGGGGTTAAAGGGCGCAGCACGTCATTAATAGCGATGTCGGGACAGATGATGGTTACACCTGTGTGCACACAGCGTAATGGATGAACTTGTCAAGTCAGGAGGTTGTACACCTGAAAGTAATGTGACGTTGTCAGCTTCCCTCAGATGAAACAAAAGAAGGACTAAATGGACAAGCAGGGCCCACCAGAGGAGGTGGGGGGTCTGGTGGGGAGGCCGTGGGAGAAACGACTCGTGTCCGGCCCGGAGAGGAGCCTGAGCGCCCCGAGGAGGCAGGCAGGGACTGGCAGAGCCCAGGGGAAGCGGGCAACCCGGCTCCGTCCTGTCCGAGACGGTGGGACGCGGCCAGCCTGAGCTGTAGACGCTGATTGTGCAGGACTCAGAGCCCCCTGGACCGGCCTCAGCCCAGCTGACCACACGGCCTGGCGTGTGTGTGTGTGCGCGCACGACCCTGCTTGCACACGTGTCCTTTCTGATGCTCCGGCGTCTGCCTCTTCCTTGCCTTTCCCGCTGGCCCGTTGGTTAGGGACTGAACTAGTTCTAGGTCATCTTTGGAACTCGCCTCGGCCAGGCAGCCTTTCTGGACCTCACCCAGAGAGGCCCAGCACCCCCGGGACCCCTCAGGTTGTGCTTTTCACATGGCAGGGAGTCTCCCCTTGTCTGGCCTGCGGACTGTGGGTGTGGGTGTTTGCTGTGAGGCAGGGTCTCCAGTGGCTTCCTGCAGAGCCATAGTTCGTTCGCTGGGGAGTGATGACCAGCTTGCAGCGAGCGCCTGCAGCGTGCCCAGTGCTAGTCTAAGACTTCACATGTGCTCACTCGTGTCATCTGCGCAGCAGTCCCCCCGGAGGTGGCCTTGTCCTCCCCCCTCTGGTCAATGCAGTTGTCGGTGTAAGGTATTTGTACCCTTGGAGGCCCGTGCAGCCTCCGCCTCCCTCAGCTCTGCGGCCCGAGCGGGAGGACAGAAGCTGGGTTCACAGAGCAGCCGGAGGGTCTGTGTTAAGTGCTAAAGAGGCCTGGGGACCCTGGGAACCCCCTGGAGCTTACCTCCTGGGAGGACCTCCCCCCAGGCCCAGTCTGGGCGGAGGAGTTACTGTAAAATCCTCCATTTTCATGATGATTTGGGAATTCGGTGCTCTTTTGGAAAGGGCTGTGTCGGAGTTGGTCTCAGATCTCGGTGACAGGATCCTGCCGGGAAGGGAGGCGTGTGCTTCTCCCTCCCGCGCAGTCACTTGGTTACTAATCCCCGAGGAGAGGCGTGGCTTCATGTTCCGTCTGTAGTACCACTTCGCCTTCCAGCACCCACCTGCGCGCCTCCCACGGGGCACCTGCTCTCACCTCACTCGTCTGGGCTGTGGCATGTGCGTCGCCGTAGTCGCCGTAGATGCGGGGGGTGCGGGCGAGGAGCTGGAGGGGAGCCCAGGCGGGGGCCGCGTGCAAGTCACGGCGTGCACCAGCTGCACACAGCTCCGCTCCTTGTTGGCCCAGTCGCTGCGTGGGAGAGGCGGCTGTCACTAGTCTTGTCACATTTTGCAAACGAAGAACTGAGTCCCGAGAGTTCAGAAAGCTGCCCGAGGCCCGTACACCATTTAGATCCCCCTGCGGGGAGACTAGAATCATAGAACCAGACTGCTGCCTGACGCCTTGGCCTGCCTGCGTGTGTCTCGGCTTCCGCGTGCCCACACAGGGCTTGTCATCCAGGGGATGGCTGGTGCAGTGCAGGGACCCAGTCATGGGCCTCATAGAGGCCGCAGGCCTTGATGGACCCGTGGCACGTTTTGCTCACTTGAAATGTGGCCTTGGGCAACTGCAGCAAACCTGTGAGCCCCTGGGCCGTGCTGCATGGGCGGGCCTCGTGCCCACACGGCCCAGGCCCGGGGGTCAACATGGCTCTCGCCACCCTTTGTGTCCACAGATGTATCTGGAAAGCTGAGGATCTGGGATACCACGCAGAAGGAGCACCTCTTAAAGTATGAGTATCAGCCTTTCGCTGGGAAGATCAAGGACATTGCTTGGACAGAAGACAGTAAGAGGATCGCAGTGGTCGGGGAAGGAAGGGAGAAGTGAGTCTCTGGCCTCGGCCCCTCCCTGCCCGTGTGTCTTGGCTTTGCTTTCTTTGTGGGTGCCCCTGCTGGGAGGGGAGCGGTGACCTCTGGGCCAGCTTGGGCTAGTGTGTGTTGAGGCCCCCCGGGGCCGGGCCCATTCTCTCTCTATCTCTGACATCCCTGGCCCCTCACCTCCTGGAGCGCCAGCTATCATGCCCACACTCCAGGCAGCAGGAAGGGGGGGGAAAGGGAGCTCCGGGAGCGTCACTGGGGTCCCTCCCAGCATAGCACACAGCCACACCTGGCTGCAGGGGAGCTGGGCACGTCACCGAAGGTGGTGACCTTCCGAAGGAAGAGGGGACCGGTGGAGACGGGGTTGGTGGCCCTCAGTGGCTGCTGCACCTGGGCCCAGTGACCAGCAGGGTCAGTACCGCAGTGCAGGGCTCCCCCCAGGGCACCACACGGCCTCAGGCACTTGGGACTTGGCAGGCACGCATCTCGTTTCCCTTACTCAGAGGCTATTTTTAATGTGTGTTCTGGCAAGCGTTCTGCCATAGTTTTTCAGGTCATCCTATTGGGCTTAACAATTCAGTTTTCATTCGGATACAAAAAGTAACCCCCGCAGTGGCGTGTTCATCGGATGCCAGCTGAGAGCAAGGCATCCTCTCCTTTCTAGTAGAGGATGGTAGCTGCTGAATACCTTGGTCCCGCCCAGTACAACCGTTAGGAAACTGGTAAGCCACAGAGCTGTTCCCCCGGCAGGTGGGAGACTTGTTGGCCCTGGACCATACAGACGCAGACTTCCAACCCTTCCCAGAGGCACCTGTTCTCAGATTCTTTGGCAGACACGGCACAGAGCCGAAACCACGGTGCCTCGTGTTTGCTCCTTTAGCGAGTGTGCAGGAAGCGTGGCCGTGAGCACACCCCCCGCCCCGCCCCGCTCTGAGCACGGGCCACTCACCTGCCCACGGCTCATCGACCGTCCCCAGGGTTGATTGTTTTCTTCCTGTGACTCCTCTCTTCGGGTAAAGGTTTGGAGCTGTCTTCCTGTGGGACAGTGGCTCTTCCGTGGGCGAGATCACGGGACACAACAAAGTCATCAACAGCGTGGACATCAAGCAGAGCAGACCGTACCGGCTGGCCACGGGCAGTGACGATAACTGTGCCGCGTTCTTTGAGGGGCCACCGTTCAAGTTCAAGTTTACAATTGGCGTAAGTGACATCCCCTCTGGGGGTGGTTTGCATGTGAAACCGGCAGTCTAGACCCGCAGGGTTGCAGGCACGTGTCATTTATGCCGTGATGTGTAGACAGGGGTTTGCGGGGGAACGTGACGTGATGGTGGGACAGCACGCTAGCCCTCCGGCCGGCGGGGCTGCCTCCAGCAAAGAGGGACCCGCCCTGGGAGACGTGTGTGTTTCTGGGATTGCAGGGAGGACACATCTCTGATGCCCTGTGACCAAGTGAGTGTCTTGGCCTAAAGGAGCTTTGTTAGAAAGGGGTAGCCCAGGCTTGGCTCTGGTTCTGCCAGCTCGAGACCTGCTGAGCCAGCCAGGTGGTAGAGCTGGTGAGCTTCCAGGGACACCCGGGTTCGTCTCCTCCTGTGAGATGATGAGGGCAGGGTCACAGCTTGAATGGGACACACGATGAGGAGAGTTAGATGCTTTGCCTGTAGAAGACATGTGTCTAAACGCCTTAGCTGAGTGTCCCAGCTCTGCCCCTGCTCCCTGGTTGGGACAAGGGTCTGAATCTAAGCCTCATTTTTCCCATTTGCAAGGTGGGTATGGGGGCATCAATATAGTGCATTTTAACCATGAACTTAACTGCACGGCTGCCCACGGGTCCAGAGCAGTTCCCTGTCCTACCTCATCAAGGATGAAATGAGAGAATGTCCTTAAAGTGGCTCTGTGGGGACCGCTGTTTACTTCGATGACTGCATGCAGTGATTCATAAACCGTGGGCACGGTATGGCCGGAAAGGATGATGCCACTTCCTTGGCAGGTTCCCAACAGGGTGGCACTTGGGCGGTGGGCAGTGCAGATCTTGGCTCGGGTACGGAGGGGCTCCTGCCCTGCCAGTGGTGAAACACTCCGTTCCGTCCCCAGGGCCCCTGAGCAGGGCCAGGCGGCTGCGTGGGAAGCCCAGCAAGGCTCTCCGTGCCCCGTGGGGTGTGCAGCTCAGAGCTCCCTTTGCAGCCGTTCCTGTGGCCGTCTCCTGCTCCTGAACCTTCTCCGGTTCCTGCTGCCCGCTTGGTAGGTGGTGGGGGCTTTGTCGAAGGCTGTTCAAGGTCAGTGTTTACTAGGTGCAGGTAGAGGTACCGTGGGATGCATCAGATAACTGAGCGTCCTGCCTTGCACCCAGGAGAGGAGGAGAGGGAGATAAGAGGTTTTCTGTGGCAACAGGAGGCTGTCCTTGCATGTCTCAGTGAAGCTGTCCCTGCTCCCAAGTCCCCCTCCACCCCCCACTGTTTGATGTCACTTGGCCGTGATCTGGGCTGTGGGCCAGTGAGGTGCCTCTCCTTACGCTGGGAGGGATCACTTCCTCTTTGCAGATGTAGACTAAACCCGGCCCAGAGCAGCTCAGCAGCGAGTCAGCAGACCAGGTTTGAGCTCAGGCAGCTCGAGCCTGTGACCAGCACACTGCCAGCCTTCTCCATGTGCTCACTTGGGGACTTGGCCGGAATAATCTTTCTCTTTCCATTTTATTTTCTAACATGAGAACACAGCCCTCACCCCAAGGCCCCAGCCCAGGGCTGTCAGGTACAAACATTAGTCCAGCTGGTACCTGTGTCCAGGGTGGGCACATAGCTTGTCCTCAGGTCTGCCTGTGGAGCCTGTCACCCATGGGTCCTGCATCAGGACCTGGCTGCAGACCAGGAGTGGGGGATGCTGGGTGGCAGCCCAGAGCCGCAGCTGGCTGGCTCTGTGACCCTTGGATGGGCCAGTGGCGTGTCCGGGTCCCCTCGGGAGACGGGACGGTGACAGCTATCTTCTGCTAGCCCCGTAGACCTGTGGGAGGACGAGAGATGCTGGCAGACGTCATATCAGAGTGTCCACTAGGAGATCTTTGGGCTTCTGTTGGAGAAGATGCTAACAGGCTCAGGTGGCCAGCGAATGAAGGGTGGGGAGAGCACTCGGGGCCCCACACCCACCCAGAATGTCCCGTCAAGTGTTGACAACTGTGTAGATCAGTCTGACTTATGCACGTGTATCTGCCCTGGACCCTCAGAGCCCCAGAGTGCAGCTGGAGTGGGTGGCTGGCTGCCTGCCCATCCAGGCTCCAGCTTCTTGCTGTCTCCCTCTGCACCGTGGCTGAGGCTAGGGGGACAAGGGGTGAGCATGTCAGGAGCACAGAGGGGTTGAGCTCAAGTGGCCGCCTTGAGGAAGACTGAGTTGTGCTCTCAGTTTCAGTACGTGCTAGAATAAAACGCAGTTGGTGCACGTACCCAAGGGGAGGTAAAAGCAGGGTTTCAGACAAGCCAGAGGGACTGAACATACTCAGCTCGCTTGGCCATCCTGCTGGCCTACAGCGGGGGTCCGGTCACTTTTCTCTTTGGTTCTTGAGCTTTTTGGTTTAAATCTGCTGCTTATGGTGTGCAGAGTGAGTGTAGACTCCTGGATCCTCCGGAGCTAAGTGAGGATCAGCTTCAGCCAGGCTCTGCTGGGCCCTCGGGCTGTCAGTTCAGCGTTCGTTTTCCTTTGCCTGAACCTGCTGTGGGCTCCAGAGGCTCCAGGAAGATGGGGTGGAGGAACCTTGAGTGGAAAAGGCCCAGGCCACCCTCATTTCAGATGCCGTGGGCCGCTTGGGCAGGTGACTTCCCCAGGATCATAGGAGGCCGGGTGTGGGGTGGAGGCTTGGGGCATCACTGTCTCTGCTTCTGGCACTGGCATTCTGTGGACAAAGGTTGAGGTTCCCTTGGAGGACCCAAGAAAGAAGGGGCAGGTGGGCCCTTACCTACTCCGGTCTCTGCAGCAGGAATTTCTTCCTTCCAAGCACGTCCCTGCGACCGAGGCGTGGTTCGCTTGCCCGCCTTGTCTGTGCACCCTGCCCGTGGGTGCGTTGGGCAGGTTTCAGCGCCCTTCTGGCCTTGGGCTTCCTCTTCTGCCGGGCACGACCATGGAGGCCCCTTCTGGAGCAAGCTCTTGAGAACACTATGTCAGCCTTTCCCACAGCCACGTGTTGCGGGCGATAGGATAGTTTGTCTAGTTCAGAGATTGCTTAGGCGGCACTCCTGTGACCCAGGCCGGCTTGTCCAGGCTGTGGCTGTGTGATCTGGAAATGGGAACATTCTGCCTGAGTTTCTGAGCGTGCATGGCGCCCACCTGTGGCAGAGGGGACACCTGGTCTCCTCTCCAGCCGGCCGTCCTGGGCTTTCCCCTGCCACCTGTGTGGTCTCACCCATCACGGGCAGCACTGAAGGGGGGTGTCCCACTTCCTTCTACGCAGCGGAGCGGAGTTGAGTCAGAAATCTATCTTGGCTATTATTAGAGGCACTGCTTTTCTAGGCAGGTAAGTAAATTGGAGCTCTGCTCTGCAGGCTTTTCTGGTGGTTTTCCCTGTTCCTGACTCACAGCAGGGCAGAAAGCAGCAGTGTCGGTCCTTCAGCGTGTATCGGGGGCCTGCGTTGTTCCAGCCCAGGCTGGGCCCACAGAATGGCCTGCCTCGTCCTTAGCCGTTCCACCTCCCGCCCCTGTACCTGCCGGTCTGGCTTCTCAGAGAGCTGTGGGTTCATCAGTGCCAGTCACGCTGGGGGTCAGCGGGGCAGGTCTCCTTCCCCCCATTTCCTTGCTGGTCTACTCCTGCCCCACGTGGCTGATGGCAGCGTGAGTGGCCTGGCCGGGGCGGCGCACTGAAGGAGCGAGGCAGGGTTTCAGGGGAGGACAGAGGCCATTTTCAGAGCGCCAGCTGTGGAGGCCCATGCCGTGCTCAGGGAGGACGGGGAGGTGGGCCCAGGCATCCGAGCCGGTTCTCCCTCCATGAGCTCGGGAGGGCAGCAGGACAGGTGGGCAGGTCATTTCAGTGTGAGGGTTAGGAGCAGTTGTACGTTCAGGGGACATCTGGGGCCAGTGAAACCAGGGAGGGCTCTCAGAGGGGACACCTGAGCGGACCAGCTCATCGGCCTGTGCTCGCTGGAGCCGGGCCGTGGAGCCCCGTGGTGCTTGAGCCTATCAGTGACGGGGGCTCAGGTACATTACTTATTACCTGATGGCTTCACAGCTCTGTTCTCAGCGTCTGGAGGGGGTGCTGGTGGGTCAGGTGTTGATGGGGGAGAGATAGTCACCGTGGGGGGTTCTCGGGAGGATCCGCTGACACAGTCCCCGCCGAGCTGCAGTGAGTGTCAGCTGTGACTGATGGGCTGACAGGTGTAGACCGGACACCGAGGACCTTCCACATCAGGGCATGGCCTGAGTGAGCTAGGCCTGCAGGATGGGGCTGTGACTCCTCCAGGGAGCGTGGGGAGGACCAGGGGCTGGGAGCCCCAGCCCAGTAGGTGGCCGCTGGGTCGGGCAGCCGGAAGAAGCCCGTCAGGTGTCTGAACCCTCCCCATGCCCCCTGCCCCCCCACCCCGTGATGGTTCCCCAGACCCGTTCCTTTGTACTCAGGCCTCACCTCCCTGTGGAACAGGCTATTTTTAGCCTTCACTTTTTTGGTTAATGGGCTGTTCACTGCTGTTTGCCTTTATGTGGGCTATTTCAGGAGCAGACATCAGTTTCCTGCTCATTTGGACTCTTGGCTCAAGCTGCAGGAGAAGCTGACAGGGAGGAGTTTCTAAAGCCAAAGGCCTTGGGTTCACACAGCGCCTGGCCCTCTGGGGGCATCTGCTCTTTCTGGCCCTCACTAAACCCAGGCTTTCCCACAAGCCTGTCTTGTTCTAGGGCCTGGGGAGGGACCTGGCGGCGTTCCATCCGGGAGGAGGGCCACGAGCCCATCATGGGTGACATCCCCTGTAACATCGGGGATGCTGAGTGCTGGGAGGAGTCGGATCTGGAGAGACAGGGGCCGGTGGTCAAGGGAGAAGGCCTTTCTGAGGAGAGGCAGTGGCCTCATAATGGGATCGCTCCGGCCGCTGGGTGGACATGGGCAGGTGTGGGGCTTGGGTGTCTGGTGCTGCCCTTCAGGAGGGCATCCTGACTTCCCTGAGCTGGGCTTGGGATACGGGGACGTTCCTGTTCTCTCTCGAGTGGTGGCCGGCCATCTAACTCCTGGCATATTCCTTAATGCCCAGTAAAGGGGGATCAGCATCCCACTGCAGTGACCCCTTTAGCCCAGGGTCTGCTCCGTTTATTGTGCGCTCTTTCAGCACCCCAGTTCTTGGGGAGCCCGGCTGGCACCACGGTGGCATTTGGCCTGGGGAGTTAAGGATATGACCTGGCCTGCCCAGGCCCCAGAGCTAGTGCAGCTAAGCCCAGTGTTCTGGAAGAGAAACCGGAGACCCAGGTTCCCTCTGGGCCTGGTTGTCTCCTGGGAGGTGCCTGGAGGCTCCCCAGGGCCCTCGCAGTGGTGAGGTGGTGGGTGACAGGTGACCATGGTGGAGGCAGAAGCACTCTGGAGGGCTTGAGAGATCGCAGTTTGGTAGCTGATTCCTTCCACTGTGGTTCAGATTGGCGGATTGCGCCTGCTCTAAAACATGGGGGCCAGACCTTGGAGCGTGGAAGGTCAGCCCTCACACAGATGAGCACACGCAAGAAACTCCGGTCTGTGGCCTTGGTGTCACCCTGAAGACCTGGCCTGGCTGAGGCTGGGCCCCGGGAGCCAGGTGGGTGGCATGTTAGTAACGGGAACTGCCTCCCAGCGGTCCCAAAACCAGAGCCAAGTTCAGGCTGAAGCCGTGCCCCATCGCACCTCTGCCGCGGGCACTGATGATGATGCCCCAGAGGTCAGGCTGTTGAGTCAGAGCAAAGTTGCAGCCCCACGACGGTGTTTGCCAGAAAGAGGCAGAAAGGAAAGCCGGCTTGTGTGGATCCCCAGTGTCACTGGGCTCAGAGTGCTCAGGCTTTCCAGTCCCCACCCCTACGGGGAATCCCTCTGAGGGAGATGAAGGGCCGGCTGCTTCTGGCCTTGTCAGCTGAGCAAAGTGGTGTGATTGCTAAAGAGCAGAATGCGGGGCTGGCTTTGTGCTCCAGCTCTGGACTGAATTGCCTGGGGCCCAAGGTGCCTGGCCTGGAAGAGTCTGTGGGTGGAGATCACAGTCTCGTGTGTCCGAGACGAGAGCTGCCTACACCGGGGAAAACCCAATTGAGGGGTGACTCTTCTGCTCAGCCTCCCAGTTGGACTTCGCAGACACATGGGTTTCTCCGATCCCGGCTCTGTGGCTCCCTTCCTCGGGATCCTGGCCCCAATTTCTCCTTCCTGGCCTGAGTTTCTTCGCAGTGCAGTGAGCACAGTGTCCTTGAAGGGTTATTATCCCAGGAGCGTTACAGATGATGGTGTTTGGTGTCCTCGTTCCCTGTGGCTGCCACAGCAAAGGACTACAAACCAGGAGCTTCAACAGGGATTTCTTCTCGTTTCTGGAAGCTAGAGCCTGCGATCCAGGTGTCAGCAGGCTTGTGTTCCCCCAACTCCTTCCAGATTCTGTCCGCTGGCATTCCTTGGCTCGAGGAGCATCCTCCCAGTCTGCCTCCATCTTCACCTGCTCTTCCCTCCCCGTCTGTGTCTTGTCCTAATCTCCCTCATGGAGCGTTAGGTCTGCCCTAAGGACCTCATTGTACCTCAACTGCATCTGCACAGACCCTCTTCTCTTTCCTAAGGAGGTTTCTGTTCACAGGTGGCACGATTTCAGCACGATTCAGCCCCTCACGTGACGCAGACGCGTGCGGAGCCTTCACACAAGCAGCTCCTGACTTAAGTTGACTCGGTGCTTGGCCTTGGAGGGCGCTGTGGGGGCAGGTGATGGGTGCGGGTTTTCCTTAAGGTTAGGTGTTTATACCCCAGAAGCCCTTAACACTTCCTACCTTGAGGAGAGTTAATAATAAATTATTAAGTTCACTTAAGGGGTGTTTCTTACAGGTAGAGGAGGAGGTGTGGGGTGTTTAGAGGATGTTTTCTTTCTTTTTTTTTTTTTTTTAAAGATTTTATTTATTTGACAGAGAGAGAGACAGCGAGAGAGGGAACACAAGCAGGGGGAGTGGGAGAGGGAGAAGCAGGCTTCCCGTGGAGCAGGGAGCCCAGAGTGGGGCTTAACGCTGGGCTCGATCCAGGACCCTGGGATCATGACCTGAGCCGAAGGCAGATGCTTAGCGACTGAGCCACCCAGGTGCCCCTAGAGGATGTTTTCTTATGCAAACCCTTGATGGAGGAAAGAATGAATCTTTAGGAAAGGGAATCATCCCTGGAAGTCATCTGGAGTCTTACTCCCCAGAAGTGCAAGACCATTGTCTAATTTCTTTAAAACCTCAGTTAACTCAGCTCCATCCTGATCCAGCTGAGCACCTGCTGTGTGCTGGGCCCTGGAGACTTGGGGAAGAGGCCTAGGGTTCTGGGCTCGAGCTACCTCTGGGGCCCTGAGGGAAGAGAGCCGGCTTTGTCTGGGCTCTGTCTGCTCTGTGGAATGAGGATAAGGGGAGCTCAGGCATCCGACCGAGCATGGGAATGGGAGGCCTAGCAGGGGACAGCCTTGCGGGCGCAGATGGGCCTGGGCCAAGACAGGCAGGCTGATGCAGACCTCCCAGTGAGTCAGGAGCTGCTTCATGCTTGTTTTATTTAAGCTCTGAGGTCTTGCTGTGGACTGACAGTTCACATTGGCAGCCGGAGCAGAAGTTTGAAGCAGATTGTGTATTTCATAAAGAATTTTCCAGAGTCTCCTGTCATCAGGTGCATAACTGTGCTCTTTCCTGCAGGATCACGGCCGCTTTGTCAACTGTGTGCGATTCTCTCCTGATGGGAACAGATTTGCCACAGCCAGTGCGGATGGTCAGGTGAGGGCTGGGGCCCAAGGCGGTGGGGGCTCATCTGACCGCCTCCCAACTCTTCAGGGCAGGCCAGCCTCCCAAAGCCAGTCTTCCCGAGAGGAACTCAGACTCTCCCTCCATCCCATTCCCGGGAGGCACTCCGTTCCCAGGCTGTGTCCTCACAGCTTGGTGGCCCCCTTTCCAGTTCTCTCCTTTTAAATGGAGCTGGAAACTCCGCCTGTTAGCACATTTTTCAGATTCTTTTTTTAAGAGTCACAGTAGCAAACCCTTGATGGTAGAGCAGGGACGAGGAAGAGCTCATTTGCATGCCAGCTGGTGAGCGCATCCTCCCACCTGTGACCCACATGTGTGTGATTCCTTGAAAGATCTACATCTATGATGGAAAGACGGGAGAGAAAGTGTGTGCCCTGGGAGGAGGCAAGGCTCACGACGGAGGCATTTACGCTGTGAGTACGGATCCGGGTTGTATGAGCGTGTCAGCGACTATGGTGGGGCCGTGTGTACGTGTGCAGTCGTCCGGACACAACTTGGAGTCAGAAGCATGAAGTTTGAGGGGGCTGAAGTAGGGGCGGCGGTGGAAAGCTTCAGGGTCACACAGAAGGGGTGTCGTGGCCTGGAGAAGCCAGTGGCCAGAGCAGGGGCCTGGACACTGGTCCCACCGGCTCCCCCACCCCCCGCCGTAGCTTCTCCCTGCTCAGAAATGGGGGCTGTGGGCAGGCTGCTTTCTGAGGCCCCTTCCCACTCTATGCTCGCTGACACGTGGCCCACTGTTTCCTTTGAGTAGATCAGTTGGAGCCCTGATAGCACCCATTTGCTTTCTGCTTCCGGAGACAAAACCTCGAAGATTTGGGACGTCAATGTGAACTCTGTCGTCAGTACGTTTACAATGGGCTCCACTGTTCTGGACCAGCAGCTGGGCTGCCTGTGGCAGAAGGACCACCTCCTCAGCATCTCCCTGTCTGGGTACATCAATTACCTGGACAAAAACAACCCCAGCAAACCCCTGCGGGTCATCAAGGTAAGGCTGTGCCGGCAGTGCCTCTGTCCAAGGGGCTGGCAGAGGTGTGCGCCCAGCGAGGAGAAGGGAGAACCTGCGTGAGGCCCAGGGGGACCAGCCCTGCGGGTTTGGGCAATGGCAGGATGCTAGTTGCTTTGGGATAGGTGTTTAGCAGAAGGGGGAGGCTGGTGCCGAGTTCCCCTTGAGCTTCTAGAAGCACCAGGGGCTCAGGGCCTTGGGGCTGTGGACAGTGGCCCTCCCCCTGCTGTCAGGAGTCCCCGTGCCCTGGGGAGGAGAGCCTCCCTCAGGAGCTGACAGCCGGAACACACGGGGCCCCAAGAGCATCACCACAGACATGGAGGACCGGCAGAGAGCCTGAAGGACGACCGGGAGGCCTTGGGACTGGACCTGGGCATTATGTGGCATTTGAACATGGGATGGAGTTCGAGGAGGCCTTGAGTTTTATGTGGTTCGAGCAGGGACGGCACGTGGGAGGGAATGAGTTCGGAGAAACAGGTGGACGCCCGGCCGGGAGTTTGTGCAGCAGCAAGCGATGGGAGATGCTGGGACCCGTCTCCAGCCTTCCTCAGCCTTCCTCGGGGCAGCTGATGCCCAGAGTCTGCCCTGGGTGCCCCTTCTCTGAGGGGGGTGGGGGGCATGCCTTCTCCCTGTCCGGAAACGAGCCGCCAGGTGAGGACCTAGGCGCTCCCTGAGGACAGGGCCGGCTGGTGCCGCTCCCTGCAGACCCTGCTTCTGCCTAGGAGTTGATGGAGGGGTTGCCTAGGTGGGAGCCGCTGTGTCCATTCAGGAGGGGATGTGGCTTGCGGGGGAGGAGCTAGTGTAACAGCAGCATCTGTCCTCACTGCTGGCCCCACACCTTCTGCTCTCATGACCCTTCCCCCCCCCCCCCCCCGCCCACTTGGCCCTAAGGACGGGGCGTTGGGACCTCCTCCTCGATGGGCTCCCAGCCTGGCATGGTGTATATGTCATGCGGGTGTACATGGCCTGGAACAGAGCCAGGGGCCATCGCAGGACACAGTCACTTTGCTGGGCCTCCAGTTGTGATGGGGAGAAATTCCTTGAGACATTCAGGCATTGCTGTCAGCCCACCTGGGCCCGGAAGAGCAGTTTCCCGCGGGCCACCGAAAGCACGGGAGCTACAGGCTGGGCTTCTGTTGCCCCCAGGCCAGCTCGGGGAATCCTGTGGGCTTTTACAGTTAGCAGAAAAGAAACTCCTGTTCCCGCTCCCGCCACAGCACGTGTGCGTGAATCCCAGGGGGTACTTGGTGCTGATCTCACGCTGCAGAGTGTCTGAGCCACGCGTGGGGGCCCAGGAGAAGGCCGGAGTTAGATTAGCAGTTCTCAGCCCCACTGCACGTTGAGATAGAGAAAGGGCTGGATCCCTGGAGAGCCTGAAGGAGGACCGGGAGGCCTTGGAACTGGACTTGCCCCAGAAGGATTTGGTCAGAACCTCCAGGGGTGGCTCTCGCTGTTGGTACTTCTTTAAAACACACCCGGGGATTCCGATGTGTAGCTGGAGCCGTGGTTACAAGCTTGAACGTCCATCAGAGTCAGCCGAGAGGCAGCTTGTTCAAACACGGCGGCTGGGTTCGTCTGGGGACATCTGTGGGGCACATGCGAGCTCAGGTTCCTCACAAGTCCCCGGGTGAGGCTGTGGCCCCAGGCAGGGCACATGCATGGAGTCCCCAGGCATCTCCCCGGGTGCAGGTCCTGAGTCCTCAGGATGCGCAGGTGGGATGCCCAGTGGGGCCGATCTGGTCTGAGGACCACGCGTTAAGTACCAGGGCTGGTGGACTCTGTCCTAGAAGGAGACGTGAGGTCGAAAGGACCCAGTGTGTCTCCTGAGAACTGTGTGAACCTCTCTCGGAAGCTTCTTGCCATGGTGTGGTAACAAGTGGAACCCCGCAGGACGCTTGGGAAGCTCCTGGGGCAAGGCCTGTGCAGAATTGTGCCACCTGGCTGCAGAGCATTGCTGGGAGAGACCAGACGGAGACCTGCCCACCCCAGGCCCCCAGGAGCAGTTACAGCGAGGTTACGTGTTCCCCCTAGCAGCGGGGGGCTGCTGCAGAGGAGTCAGGTTTTGGGGGTCAGGGCCCTCCGACAGCTTGGGTGGGGAGCGGCGTGTTGGGAGAGAAGAAACCTCATCAGCCAGGAGTCAAAGCTAGGGTTGTATGTTCCGGTTCTGGGAAGAGAACAGACTGTTAGTAGCACCCGGGACTGTCTGGGTCTCTCACCCCGGATGTCCCCCCACCTGCCTCCGTGAGTGAGCACTAGGCCCTCCTGCGACTGATCCCGCTAACTGCTGCTTCCGCTCCACGGAGGCTCAGCTCGGGGTTGGGGCTCTCCTCCCCCCGTCTGCTGGACGTGAGCAGCCTTTCCCCCGTTCGGGGGCACTGCCAGGGTCAGTTGCACGGACCAGGCCCTTGGCTCCTGGGGTTTTATTAGATCCCATCCTTGGCCGGGGTTGAGGTTGGGTCCCAGGAGGGGAGGGCTGCATGATGGGGCTTTGCCAGACGGCCAGTCAGCTGGGGAAAAGCAGGCCGCGGCTCCTGGAAGGGGGTTTCGGGCACACGGGGGGCTGCAGGATGTCGGCACGGACGTCCGCCGCGATGTGGACGGCCTTCTGCCTCATCCCCCAGGGGCACGGTCGGTGGAGGGCGGTTGGCAGGCTGCAGACACAGGATGGCGTGTTCTCCGCTCACCCGGCCCTGTCCGTGTCCTCCACAGGGTCACAGCAAATCCATCCAGTGTCTGACGGTGCATAAAAACGGTGGCAAGTCCTACATCTACTCCGGGAGCCACGATGGACACATCAATATCCTTTGACTCACAGAGCTGGCTCCGGGGCCACTAACAGGAGAGGTGGGAGTGTTCTGTCCCCGTTGAGCCAAAGGCCAGGCCAGCCAGGTGGCGGCGGCAGGGCTCCGACCAGCGGGCCGCGTCCACGCTGGGGGCCCCTGGCTCCGCGCTGCAGCCTTGACCCGGTGGGTCACTTCTCTGTGTAGCTGTAAGTGGCTGTTCAGCTCTGAATCGAGCTGCTGCCCCCACCTGGGCCCCTAGTGCTGCTGGATCCCTCTCACAAGCCGTGAGTCAGGAGTCTTAGGATTAAGTAGGACCTAGAACCTGTCAGTATTGTTCCCCTTGCTTTAAAAGTGGCAAACAGAAGCTGAGAATGCTCAAGTGCCTTCCCCAAAGTCACACCGCTTGTCGGTGGCCCCTGGGACTGGAACCACAATCTCGCTTGGGCTGAGGTTCTTTGCGGTCCTGCGAGACTTTCCCTGGAGGCATGTGAAGCAGCCCTTACAGCCCGCGCTCCTCCCAGGACTGTTGTCTGTGGGGTGCTGGGTGCAGGCCCACGCTTCCCTGCAGGGCTTTGCGGTTTTCACAAGAGAGCTCCAGTTTGGGAGGCCTCCCCACAGCCCTGGGGTAGGAGGGCAGACACGTCATCCTCTGCCCCATTAAATGTAAGGAGGGTAGTGTGTGGTGGGGGCTGCATGAAATCAGGGGCAGAGAAGGCTCTAGAATCCGCCCTTCTGGAGTGGTGTGCGGATCTGCAGTCATGCCGTCTTCAGTTGCCCTGGTGTGAACTCTGATGCTCAGATAGCTACGTTTCCTTGGGTATCAAGCGCTGGGTCTCCATCACAAGAGCTTGTCGGCCGTGCAGCATACCCGTGGCACTCGAGAGCCAACAATAATCTTCATTTGAAATGAGATGTTCAGGTGTTTGTGTGAAAGAAAAGCCTCCTCACTTAAAGCACCCCTCCCCGCTGAGCACCTCCCGCTCGCAGTGTGTAAACCAGCCCAGCCAGGGTGGGTCAGCCCCGGCGGCACCTGGCGGCACCTGGCTGGCCACCCTCTGAGCGGGGAGGCACAGCCAGCCTCCTGCTGACGGTCACGGGCTTGACGGCACGCTGCAGGACACAGGGCGGCGTGGGCTCAGTGGCGCGGGGCCGCGGTGAAGACCTGTCCCCTCGCTGCGGGAACCCGCCGCCGCTGGGCTGTGGTCCGTGTGCACCGCTGGCCAGCGGGGACCCGCACACTTCGTGCCGGCTGCTGCAGGGGGTCCGGCCGGACTGCTCATCGCTCGGTGTGTCCTCAGTGGCCCACTGTCACCAGAACGTTCTGGAATTCGGATTTAGACTTGCCATAGACGTCCCCTCAGGCCCCGTGCTCCCCGTCCCACATACGCTGTCCCGAAGGAGGGACGGCCAGGCATCCCCGGTGGGGCCCGCGCCATGTCCTGGAGGCGGTCTTTCCTTAACCGCCGCCCCACATTACTGGGATTCTGAGACGGGGGAGAATGACGCCTTCGCCGGGAAGGGCCACACGAACCAGGTGTCCAGGATGACGGTGGACGAGTCCGGGCAGCTGGTTAGCTGCAGCATGGACGACACTGTGCGGTACACCAACCTCACGCTGAGGGACTACAGGTGAGGGCTGCCGGGGGCCTGGGTCCACAGTGCACCCCGGAAGAGGGGCCCTCCGCCCACACTGCTTCCGGCCCGTGGCCCTCGATGGCACTCTGCTCTTCTCACTGCTCCCCCCAACTACTCCTCCTGTACCGGGCTCTCGGCTGGGGGCCGGGTGACAGTCCAGTGGCCCACGTGGACGGTGAGCTGTGTAGACTCTGCCTGGGAAGCCAGGCGCAACATCTCAGCCCAGATGCTCTCCCAGACCCCACACTTGGCCAGTCACAGGGGATTTTCCTTCGTTTACTCTTTTCAAGAAGTTTTTGTAAGTGTGCAAGATTTTCCAGGGCGTGTTTTCACGGCATTAGCCAAAAACGAAGACCTGATTTTCATCTGTGAAAGTATCCGATTCTTCAGAAGAGTCACCCTGCTGAGCAGAGTGGCTGTGACCTTGGGAGTGGGTGGTGGGCTTGGTTCCATCTGTATCCAGGGATTGCCAGGGTCTGTGGCCAATGGACGCAGGACAAGAGCAGGATGGGGTCCCCCAGGGCGGTCCATGGGCAGTCCTCAGGTAACAGAGACGGGAGCCCCCTGACCCCAGCCCCTGCGTGATTTCCGATCTCTTTCCCTGGAGCCGGGGGCCCTTTCTCACTGGTCCCAGGTTTTAGCTCATGGCTCTGTCCATGTGGATGGACCAGCATCTCTGCTTCCTGGCCCCAGAACTGCTATGGGTGTGTGGTGGGTGTGTGCTTAACCCGCACGCCGAGCCCCCATGAGGTGGACATAACACGTTTTCCCTTGTCTGCACCAGTGGGCAGGGAGTTGTGAAGATGGACGTCCAGCCCAAGTGCGTGGCTGTGGGCCCTGGAGGCTACGCCGTGGTCGTGTGCATCGGGCAGGTACGGTCTGCTTCGGTGTGGCGGGGAGGACGGGCAGGGTGGCAGAGCGGGACTGCAGGCCGCGGCATCTGACCTCCGATCTCCCCTGGCCTCCCATGCGGCGGGAGCTCTGATACGTGTCTGTCCGAGCCCCGCATGCACGCCTGTTGGCTCCGTCCGCAGGCCTCCCCGGTCGCACAGGGTCCTCCCCATTCTGCAGACACGGAGACAGGCACAGGGGGGTAAGTTGCTTGCCCAGGGTCTGCAGCTGCCAGAGGGCACGGCTGTCAGGCATCAGCCTCCCCGGGGGGCCTGCCGGGGGGTGCAGCCCTGAGGCCTGGAGCTGTGTGATCCGCACATGCTCCTCACTATGAGCTCTGCTTTTCTTCTCCCTGGCAGCTCACAGGGGGGCTTGTGAGGCTCCTTGCAGCGATGCACCTTCCTTTCCTGAGCGGGGCCGAGGCGCAGTGATCTGGTGACTTCCCCAAGGCCACACGATGGCCGGGGTGCCGGGACCAGAATGGCATTAGGTATCCCAGCTCTGCGGCCTGGCTTTTCATTCAAGACAGGTTACCTATACACCTTTTCTTTTGGAATTTCTGGAACAAAGCACCCTTGATCGAGACCCTGGCGTGACCCACTTCCTACCAGGCTCTGCTCCGGCGCAGGCGGCGTCTGTCAGCAGACCGGGGCATCCCGGCGTGTAGATCAGGGAGGGCAGGTTGACAGCCCCCAATGGCAGGAGAGACAACCCTGGTAAAGGCAGCTGCTGTTCGGGGTCCCCCGCCCCTTCCCCATCCTGCTCACTTAAGTGCTTCTGGGAGAATGGTTTTCTGCGTGTCCTAGATAGCAGGAACTTCTGTCAGCAGCCTGGGTGGTCGGTGGGGGAACAACAGGCATGAACTGCGTGGAGAGCCATGGGGGGGGGTGTGTAGGGGGCCTGAAAGGCAGCCTCTAGAAGCACGGGTGGGCCTGGGCTGCGGCTCCGTGGGGTGCGCTCCGTGTCTCCAGGCCTCAGTTTCCTGTCGGTGGAGGGCCGTCCTGACAGGCCTTCCTCCGAGGCTCACAGCGGGGCTTGCACAAAGGGTCAGAGAGGGGCCAGCCTGGTGCCGCGCTGGGGAGGGCTGGGGGAGTGCAGGGCTGTTCTGTGATGTGCCACTGCTGCCCAGCCTCCCTGCCCCACTCCAGGTAGGAAGCTTCCCTAGAACTCCTCACTGCAGGTCAGAGGGTCAGCAGAATGTGCAGGAAGGGAAACAGCTAGGTTCAAGTCTCACGTCTTGGGCAAGTTTTGGCAAATGCTTGTGCCCCCAGTCCTTACCGGTCAGATAGGAACGTCCACTTCCGGAGTCGGGCAGATGGTCGGTGAGGGTTTCTCAGGCTGCGTCTTCAGTGGTGGGTCTTAGTGAGGGTGCGGACACCTGTCCACCTGTCCTCTTCCTCCAGCCCCTGCCCCACAGGACACGCAGAAGCGGAGGCCCCTGCACAGGGGGGCAGGCGCTGGCCTGCCCTTCGTGGGGCAGCTGGTAGCTTGGGCAGGGGTGCTGTGGGATGAAGCCAAAGCCGTCACAGATCTAGGCCATGCTGTCTGGGAGCAGTCCGGGAGCTAGAAGCAGGAGGGGTGGGTAGCAAGGGGCGCGTGGGGTGGAGGGTGCAGAGGGTCCTCGTGTACAGAGGGCCTCTTGTGAGCACCAGAGGGCAGAAGTTAACCGCGTGGGAGCCAGGGGGCCCAGACGCGAGCCCCAGCTTGGTTTTGAGAGTTATAACTGTACCTCATTTTCTCGTCTGTATGGGGGTTGGGGTGGTGATCTTGCCGTCTCCAGGGGCGGGGTGTGTGCAGCATTCTTAGCAAGGCCTGTGTCTCGGGCTCAGCGGACCTTAGCTGCTACTTTTATTTGCCTTTATTAGGGACTTTATTTACCCTGAACATCGGATTCCAGCTTTGTGATGTGTAGGCACCATTAGGTTCTTCTACCCTGGGAAGCTGAGCTGAGGCTCAGGACAGAGCTGTCCCCACAAGCAGTAGGCGGCTGAGCCAGGATCAAACCCGCAGGGCCCTCAGTAGGGCCTGGACACCTGGGCACTCAGGCCCGGCTGGGGTGGAGCCCCGCACAGGGCTCGCTGCGCCACAGTCCAGCTGCCTTGCTCTGCACCATCTGTCCTGTTCTGCCTACTGCCTGGGCCAGGTCGTGCTCTGGGGGGGAGGCCGGTTGGGAGCGAAGAGCTTCTGTGGACCTGGGGCCCAGCTGTGCTCTCTGCTCGCTGGCGCCCCCACCTGGGACCCAGTTTTTGTGTGGAAGACGTACCAACACTGCCCCCCAGCTGTGCAAGACGCTCACACTAGCACACGTGGATGTTCCCGTGCTCCAGGGCGGTGCAGAGGGCCTTTCCTTGGACCTGGGATTTCAGAACTTAGACTCCGGCGTGTCCTGTTCGTTCCCAGTGTTGCTCTAGAGCCCTGCTCTTCCAAATGCTTGCGTCCCTTGAACCTCAGGAGAAGGCCGTTCGGCAGAGCTCCTGTGGAACTGTGTAACAGGAGGATGGAAAGTTCTGGCGTCAGATGGCTTCCCGAGAAGCCGGCGTGTGTGGTGACAGTGACAGCAGCCGATAGTTACTACGATGCTATGACTAGGAAGAGTCACAGCCCCGAGCGGCTGATGAGGGAGGAAGCACAACGCAGGGTCACAGGGCCCCTGCTCCCAGCAAGCTTCGAGACGGGGCCCAGAGCGGGGCCGAGTGGTCTGTCCCCGGCCTCTGCACCCTGACTGCTGCCTGTGATTTTCAGATCGTCCTGCTCAAGGATCAGAAGAAGTGCTTCAGCATCGACAGCCCCGGCTACGAGCCCGAAGTGGTGGCGGTGCACCCCAGCGGTGACACGGTGGCTGTCGGGGGCACGGTGAGTCTCCTGTCCCTCATGTCGCCTGCCCCTGGCTGTCGGGGCGGTTTGGGGGTGACACAGGCTGGGTGAGTGTGGAGTGTCCTGAGGCAGATAGGGAAGTGGTGGGGGACCAAGGGCCTGGGCAGCGGGCGGGGCTGGGCTGGGGAGCGCACAGCAGGGGGACCGCTGGGCCGTCAACCACACGAATGCGTGGGGCACACGTGACTTAGCGTGTTGTGAGAGGACCAGCACGGGTGAGCTGGGCTGGCGGGTTGTAGGTGGGAAGAGCGTGACAAGATGGCTAGCCCGTGCGAAGCAGCACTAACCCGATGGGTTCAGGGATTTCCTTCAGTGCTGACGTCTGTGGTGCTCCTGCCCCCCTAAACCTAGAGCCACGGGGGCCCGGTGGTCCCTGCCTGCCAGGCCGAGTCCTGCCTGCTTTACAAACCGGCTCCCTTCGCCCCGTCCGGCCCCGGGGGGCTCAGGTGCCCTGATGAAGGAGCTCCGCAGCCGAGATGGCAGACCTCCGCGTCCCCAGGGAAGGGCGCCAGCATCGGGCAGTGCCGGCCATGCCGAGGGCCAGCTGCCCCCCAGAGGCCCACGGCCGATCTCGCAGAGCCGGCGTGAGGGCTGAGGAAAGGCTGGTCTGCGGGCAGGGCTTTGCCCAGTAGCTGGCCCGTGGGACGCGTCAGCTCGGCACCGGCCACTCCACTCACCCCCCAGCCTCAGAAGTGGTTCTTGCTGCCCGCCCTTCCAGCCCGGAGGGGGAGCAGCCAGGTCAGGGTGCCTGCCCGAGCGGGTGAGGGAGCCCCCTGTCACGGCCACAAGCTGTTCTTTCCCCCAGGAGCCCGTGGGCACGGCGTCGAGCCCCCACTGCCCAGACACAGAGAGCAGAGCTTGTCAGCCCCTGCACTGTAGCTGTTCCTCTGTGTTGCCATCCTCGGGGGCTCTAAGACCCGTGGACTGCCCTGGTGTTCACAGACGAGTAAGCTGTGTCCCGTGTGTGTGTGTGGTGGCCCCTGCCTGGGGGCTGCATCCCCTCCTGCCCAGCAGCCCCACCGCCTCCCACAGGGTTCCCGTCGGCCCTGCTCTCCTGCACGTGCTCGGCCCGGACACCGTCCCTGTAGGCCCGCACCCCGCAGTGCTGGCGGTCCCTTCTGGGCCTGTCACCCCTTTCCCAGGTAGCTGCCCTCTGGCATGTTTTGAGAAACAGCCTTCCTTTTTTTAGGGAAGAGTTCACAGCTGTGGTCCTGGGGCAGGAGGTCCAAGTCAGACGTGGGGTTTGAACCTGGTGTTCCCCCTTGCACAGCATAGCACCATGCCCTGCTTACTAGACCTTTACCTCTTTTCACTTAAGAAGAAGAGAGATGGCTGTCTCGTCGTCCCCTCAGTTCCCACCTCAAAGTCTTGGCAGCTTTCGTCTTCCCTGGTTGTCTGCCAGCCCTGGGCCTGTGAATCTCCGTGATCACACAGGACACATCTCTGTTTATCCCAAGTTTCCCCATTGTCCCCCAACGCTAGTAGTCTTCATTTATTTTAATGACATTCCAGCAAGAGGCGGTCCCATCACGTAGTTAGCCCGGTGGCGGGCGTTGTGCCGTGTGCCCTCCTCTGACGTCCTGTGTGCGGTCTGCGAGCGTAGCCATTTCCATCCTTGCGATGCCTCCATGTGGGCGGTATACCCCCAGGACCCTGGGGCCCAGACTTGCACTGCAGGCAGGCGTCAGCTGGGCTTGTCCCGTGAGCTCAGAAACCCTGCTGGGGTCGGACAGGGCTTTCCTCCTGCGTTAGAGGCGGGGCCAGGGCTGTGTCGTGCACAGAGCTGGGACACCTTGGATCATGTTCGCCACTCGGGTAGCTCAGCTGCCCCGAGAGGGCGGCTGGTCCTTGATCTGCCTCCTCCCAGGGCAGCCTCGGGCAGCCGCAAGGACACCACCTGTCCCAGTTCCTTCTGTCTGTCCATCCATGCCACAGGGATTCATTCCACCGTGTGTGACACTTCTCAGGCCCAAGTCCTAGACAAGTCCCTGGGGGCATGAAATCGGGAGCGGGGTCCCTGGCCTGGAGGGCAGGTGCCCAAGGTGTGTCCCCTGGCTGAGCTCCAGAGCACGGGCGGGAACTGTCAGCAGAGATGTGCAGACAGCCCTCAGAGGCTCCCGCCGAGGAGAGCTGGGTAGAGCCAGGCACTTGGGCATCTCATGGGCATCCCAGGCTCAAGGACCCCTGGGGCAGTTGATCAGCCCATGGACTAGGTGGCACCTGCCATCTGAAAGAGCAGGTGTGCCTCCCCTGTGAAGAAGCACCTGGGTCACGACAAGGAGGGGGAGCTCGCTAGGAGACAGCCGGTTGGACAGAGGGGGGCTTGGTCAGAGTGAGTCGGTGCCTAAAGGAACCTCCTGGGCGCTGGGAAGGGCCCTGTGGGTACGGAGCACAGGGGGCAGGCAGTGGCCGGAGGGGACAGAGCCAGACCAGGGGCCCTAAAGTGTGTATGGGTAGTTCTGAGTTTGCCCTGCGTTAGAACTTACTGGAGCGTTTATGAAAAGAGGCAGAGTCCTGAACACCCAAACACCCAGAAGCAGAAGTGGGGGTGCCTAGCACTCGGCATTTTAATTACCTTCCTGAGTAATTCTTCCCACTAAGCTGAGTACGCCGTGGGAGCTGCTGAATGGTTTTCGGGAGGGTGTCGGGAGAGCGTGCGTACGGGTGTCAGGAGGGTGTGTGCGTGTGCGTGTGCGTGTGCATGCCTGCGTGTGCTCCCGCCGTGGTGCACGTCGGGAAGTGACTCAGTGCCCCTCTGTCCTCCTGCAGGACGGCAATGTCCGCTTGTACTCCATCCTGGGCACCACGCTGAAGGACGAGGGCAAGCTCCTGGAGGCCAAGGGCCCCGTGACCGATGTGGCGTATTCCCACGATGGCGCTTTCCTAGCCGTGTGCGATGCCAGCAAAGTGGTCACGGTCTTCAGTGTCGCGGACGGCTACTTGGTGAGTGGGCAGGCGGGGCGGCTCTGTCCCCGTGCTGGGCAGTGCGGAAGGCGAGGGGTGGGGGGGGTGGCCGTGGCTTCTCTCCCCTGTTCTCATCAGCCTGGCAGTCGCATGAGACCATGAGACCACGTGGCTTCCTTGTTCTCAGAGCTGAATGACGTGAGACAAGGAGACGCACTGTCGTCCAGGGTCTCGTGGTTTTGTGGGTGAGATAGAACACTTGCCAGAAAGTTAGGGCCCTGGGTGGCAGCAAGGCTTGCTGTGAAGGCAGGCTGAGTGGTTCACCTGGGCTGCCGGGCTAAGTGACTTTCTGGCTTCTTCTCTAAGGGCCGAGACTAGATTTTCTTCCTGAGTCTCACTGCTGTTTAAGTCTCACGAAGATGAGCGCGGATCATCCCAGCACCGCCTCACGTGTGGGGGCGCTGGGCAGTGGGCTGGCGAGGGCAGACCAGGGTGCAGAGGCACCTGGGCATGGGAGGACAGCCGAGGGCCAAGAGCGATCCATTGCCCCAGTTCACAGACAGGAGACTGAGCTTTGTTAGGGGTTCCGTCACTTGCTGGGTGTGGCCAGAGCGGGGGCACAGGATGGCAGGTCTCCGGTCCCCGGGCCCTGTACCACGCCAGCCCCCCAGCACTTGAATGGTTTTGGAATGCAGCAGAGGTGAAAGAATTTACCACCTAGGTTTTGCCGTTATCCATCCGATAATCTTAATTCTGGGTGCACCTAAATTACAGGCATCTGTACACTTCCCCGTAAATACTTGGGCTTATATATGAACTAGAGTTGAGTCTCTTTTTAGTCTGTCTGATGCCACAATGTTACTTCTGACAAAAGGCTTTGGACATAAAGCCTGTAATCAGGACCTCCATCTACATGACACCCCACCTCCCAGGGGATTTCTTTCTGCTCCCTCGCCACATTCCTCAGATTTTGTGTTTATCTCATTTTTAGTGGTTTCATGTATTTACAACAGAAGTCTTGCGACAGCATGCTAAGTAGGCGGTCCACAGGGTGGGATCAACACAGCACAGAACAGGCAAACTTGAAAAGGAAAATCATCGTCAAGTCGACCTTTTCTTAGAAATTAAGAAAATGGAATGCCCTGAAGAAAAAGCATTCCTACGGTGGCAGGAAAGTGCTAGTCCTCCAGCTTGCAGGCTCCGTCCAGCCCCCCGCCCCAGGCGGCGAGTAGTGAGTAGTGGGCAGGTGTGTGTGGGGAGGGGCCGGCGGCCTCCCTCTGCTGCCTGAACCTTCCCTGAGCACCACCTGCCCGAGGCAGGGCCTCCTCGAGCCTTCGTGTCTGCGTTGCGCTGAGCCCTGGCTGGGCCGAGGCTTCATGAAGGAGAGTGCACACACCTAGCACCTCAGGGGGGACGGAGGCCGTTCGGGGCCCCGGGGGCACAGTGGTTGCTGCCCGACGCTGGGCCGTGCGGGGCCGTACCCTCCTGGGCCTCATCACAGAGCGGTGGGCACCTGGGTTCCCGTGAGCCCTCTGTGAGGCATGCGCGGTGCCTGGCAGAGCGTGCTGCATCAGCGTCGGCCCTCGTGGCGGTCGCTGGGGGCAGGTGAGATGACGCGCACCCCTCTGGCCTGAACCCTGACCTACCACCTCTGTTTTCAACCTGCAACTAGGAGAACAACGTTTTTTACGGCCACCACGCGAAGATCGTCTGCCTGGCCTGGTCACCAGACAACGAGCACTTTGCCTCCGGTGGCATGGACATGATGGTGTACGTCTGGACCCTAAGTGACCCTGAGACCAGGGTCAAGATCCAAGGTGACTCTCGATCCCACCTCAGCTCCCCAGGCGGCCCCAGAGAGGCTCTCCCCAAGCCCGAGTGTCCCATCTGTGCTTCTGGGGAAGTCACCCCCGAGAGGCATGGCTCTCATTCTGCCGGCCCCCGCTAGACACGCAGAGGGATCGACGATGCACATATTCCCCGCGGGAGAGCAGGTGGTCTCCATTCACCGGGCATGCGCCTTAGCACACCGGGTCCCTCTTGACATCTCTTTCTCAGCCCGTCGGGTTTCCGTAACAAGTACCGCAGACTGGGTAGCTTATAAACCACAGAATTGCTCACAGTTCGGGAGGCTGAAGTCCCAGATAGGGGGTGGCATGGCTGGGGCGTTGGGGAGCTCTTCTGGGCCAGAGACTTCTCACTGGGCCCCACTCTGCGGGGCCTCTTTAATAAGCCACTGATCCCATTCGTGCTCGCAGCTCTTCCAAGGCCCTACCTCCTGATACCACGGCCTTGGGCATGAGGTTTTTGGTGTACAATTTTGAGGGGCAGACACAAACATTCAGACCACAGCACTTTCCCCATCCCCCGCCCCACCCCCTAAATTAAACTGCTGATCGGGTTCTCTCTCCACGATGGGCAGCGTCCAGTAGGAGTGTAATGGAGCCACCTGTGGACTTCTGTGTTTCTAGCAGCCTCGTTTAAAAAAACAAAAAACAGATGAAATTATTGTTTTATTTAGTCCCAACATATTTTTTCTACATGTGGCAATAGCTCGCTTCAAGGGCTCTGTAGTCACACATGCCTCATGGCCCTAGGAGGGACCGTGTCTGTCCAGGATAGATCTGAAATTCTCCTGTTCTGGTGTCACCCCCCAGCCAGATGGGAGGGCCCAGTGGGAGGTGGCCCAGAACAGATTCACCTGGGTCCCCTGCTCTGTGAGGTTTGTACTAGGACCCACCCAGTCCGTAGAGTAGAGGCAGGAAACTGGGGAGGACTGTAGTCACCCTGGTGCACCTCTCACAGAGGGGGGCCCGGGGCCCCGCGGGTGTTTCTCAGGGTATTCTGGTCACCAGTCCACCTCTTAGAGAGGTTTCTCCGCCTTTATTCACTGCCCCCGCCCATTTTGTTACTGCAGATACACCAGGAAGCTGTTCGTGTATTGTCTGTATTGTTGCTTTATGCATAAAAAGGAACAGACTTTTACCCCCTTGGGGGAGGAGCAGTTCTGACTCCCAGGGGACATTGTTGGGTGTCAGGCCAGCCCCCGTGTCTGGGAGGGGCCGACCGCAGGGATGCCGGCTTGAGATTGCCTGCAGCCACCTTCCACGTTCCAGACGCTCCCCCTTCGGTGAAGAGGGACGGGGTCAGGTTCTCGGCCGTTGTCGCTGTTGGCACAGCCTGTCCCCTACTCGTCGCGTGAGGTGTTGGGGGAGCAGAGGGGCTTCCCTTCAGAACGCCCTCTTTCTCCCCAGATGCACACCGGCTCCATCACGTGAGCAGCCTGGCCTGGCTGGACGAGCGCACGCTGATCACGACCTCCCACGACGCCTCTGTCAAAGAGTGGACAATCACCTACTGAGGAGCCCCCTCCTCTGTTCGGACCGAATCAGGGACTTGAGCTTAACCGCAGCGGAACACGTCGTTTCTCTCAGTATTTCTGCCCTGCGCCCCCCGCCCCCGCCCCGCTCAGGAGGGAGGGGCCTTACGCCAGTACCCTCGGCTCTCCGCAGGGTGTTCCTCTCTGTACACGTCCTTCTGAAAGCTTTAGACAGTGACAGTTTGCACATGCGAAATAAAGCAAGCACTTAAACACCGTGTGGAGCGTAACTCAAACCCACCACCCACCCCAGCCCGAGTGCAGAGCCTTCCGGAGGCAGAGCCTCGAAGGCACACAGACCCGCGCCGCGGCTCCTGCTGTCGGTCGGGAGGCTGCGGTTGTGGGCCGCCCCCTCCCCGCGGGCCCCTCCCCGCGGAGCACCCCGCGCTGGCGGGCGCAGGTCTGTGCAGAGCAGGGGCGCCCCCGGGCCGGAGCGCGCGCCCCGCCGTGCGGTCACCCCCGCGGCGGACGGGTGCACCACGTGAACCTTGGATTCGCTGTCCGTTGTCGTGCTTGATTTTAAGGATGGAATTGTGGGAGTTCTGTTTTTGGGTTTTTTCCCCTTTTTACTGTGTCTTTAACTGTTGCCTGTCCGTGTTTACCGGCTAGCGCGCCGCCGCCCCCGGGTTTTCGGAGCCGGGTCTGCCGGACCCCGGTGTCTCGGCCCGGTTTTGCTCTCCTGCTTTGATGTGTTCCTGTCTGTCTCTCCCCCTTCTGCCCCCAAGAGCAAAGGTTAATTTAAAGGCAGAGGTGACGTCACTGTAACCTAACCTGTCATGGTTTTCACCTTTTTTTTTTTCAGTGCAGAAATTAAAAGTAAGTATAAAGCACGGTGATTTGTAGTTTTTTTGCGTGTGTTGGAATTACTGGTAAATGTTGGCTGAGAGCAATCGCTCCCTTTGCACTTGTGAAAACACTTGAGCGCTTTAAGAGATAAGACCAAGAAGTGATTAAATGTCTTTCTCGTCACTGGGTGACTGACTTTGTGTGGTGGTGGGGGGGGGGGGCGGCATGGGATGCTGTGCGACCCGAGTGGCTTCTCCCCGGCCTGCAGCCTCAGGGGGAGACCGTTCAGGACCCCGGATTGCTGGATCACCCGGTGGGGGAAGGGAAGCCCCAGGGAAGGGGCAGGCACTTCTGGGTCAAATTGCTGGGTGACCTGGGCCATCTCACCTCCCTTCTCTGCGCCTAAACTTGTTCATTTGTAAACTGAAAACATTGGACCAGATGATCCCTAGATCCCACCTGATTCTCAAGTTCTGGGGCAGTCCGTGACCTTTCTAGCACTGCCTTCAAAAGTAAGGAATGACATGCGTTGTAGGCGTTGAAAAACACTACATTTCCAAACATTCCTATTAATCGTGAGAGATGATCTTGGCTAGAAAGACAAAACTGTAAAGGTGTCTAAATACGCAGTCCTAATAAAAAATATTTTCTCCCTTCTGGTTTCATCTTACTGCTTCCACAGTTGATGTATGAAAACAGACCTAAGAAAGGAAAAGAGAATTAAGTGTTACTCTGTAGTATATCTAAAAGCTGGGGCCACTGCAGAACAGAGTCCAGACAAGTGCTTCATGCCTGTGTATTTGGATTGGGGACAAGCTACTTCTCATCTCACATCCGTGGGGAAATGGCAAATTATTCACTAAACAGTGAAGATTGATTTGGGTACCAATCTGAAAAAATACTTGTCCTTATGCCAAACTAAATTAAAAGTAGGTACAAGTTTTTAATCTTAAACAATGGAGTTAAAAGTGTGTCGAAGCGGGGGGAAAAACCCCACAGTAAACAAATTGTTAAAACATGGCAAATAGCATACTTTTCTACACATGCTAGGCCAAAGGATGTGTTTGTTTTAATGCTCAGCATAATTTTCTTTGAGCACATGGGATTTTTCAAATGCAAATTTGTGCATACTTGGGACAGTTTTCAAAATCTATGATAGAAAGCTAAGTGATAGAATAATGCATATAAAGTGACCACATTTATGGAAAAAGACCACAGGTTTGGATCTTTCAAACCAACGCTTTTAGGTTGATAAGGGCCAGGAGCTGGGAGGCAGGAGGGCGCCCACCAGCCAGCCGGGGGCCCACCTCCCTCAACTCCACTCTTCACTAGGGCTTTTTTTTTTTTAATTTTTTATTGTCATGTTAATCACCATACATTACATTATTAGTTTTTGATGTAGTGTTCCATGATTCATTGTTTGCGTATAACACCCAGTGCTCCATGCAGAACGTGCCCTCTTTAATACCCATCACCGGGCTAACCCATCCTCCCACCCCTCTCCCCTCTAGAACCCTCAGTTTGTTTTTCAGAGTCCATCGACTCCCCCCTCCGATTTCCCCCCCTTCATTCTTCCCCTCCTGCTATCTTCTTTTTTTTTTTTTTAACATATATTGCATTATTTGTTTCAGAGGTACAGATCTGTGATTCAACAGTCTTGCACAATTCACAGCACTCACCATAGCACATACCCTCCCCAATGTCTATCACCCAGCCACCCCATCCCTCCCACCCCACCCCCCACTCCAGCAACCCTCAGTTTGTTTCCTGAGATTAAGAATTCTTCATATCAGTGAGGTCATATGATACATGTCTTTCTCTGATTGACTTATTTCGCTGAGCATAACACCCTCCAGTTCCAACCATATCGTTGCAAATGGCAAGATCTCATTCCTTTTGATGGCTGCATAATATTCCATTGTATATATACACCACTTCTTCTTTATCCAGTCATCTGTCGATGGACATCTTGGCTCTTTCCACAGTTTGGCTATTGTGGACATTGCTGCTATAAACATCGGGGTGCACGTACCCCTTCAGATCTCTACATTTGTATCTTTGGGGTAAATACCCAGTAGTGCAATTGCTGGATCATAGGGTAGCTCTATTTTCAACTTTTTGAGGAACCTCCATACTGTTTTCCAGAGTGGCTGTACCCGCTTGCATTCCCACCAACAGTGTAGGAGGGTTCCCCTTTCTCCGCATCCCCGCCAACATCTGTCGTTTCCTGACTTGTTAATTTTAGCCATTCTGACTGGTGTGAGGTGGTATCTCATTGAGGTTTTGATTTGGATTTCCCTGATGTCGAGCGATGTTGAGCACTTTTTCATGTGTCTGTTGGCCATTTGGATGTCTTCTTTGGAAAAATGTCTGTTCATGTCTTCTGCCCATTTCTTGATTGGATTATTTGTTCTTTGGGTGTTGAGTTTGAGAAGTTCTTTATAGATTTTGGATACTAGCCCTTTATCTGATATGTCATTTACAAATATCTTCTCCCATTCTGTCGGTTGTCTTTTGGTTTTGTTGACTGTTTCCTTTGCTTTGCAAAAGCTTTTTATCTTGATGAAGTCCCAATAGTTCATTTTTGCCCTTGCTTCCCTTGCCTTTGGCGATGTTTCTAGGAAGAAGTTGCTGCGGCTGAGGTCGAAGAGGTTGCTGCCTGTGTTCTCCTTTAGGATTTTGATGGACTCCTGTCTCGCATTTAGGTCTTTCAATCATTTTGAGTCTATTCTTCTGTGTGGTGTAAGGAAATGGTCCAGTTTCATTCTTCTGCATGTGGCTGTCCAATTTTCCCAACACCATTTGTTGAAGAGACTGTCTTTTTTCCATTGGACATTCTTTCCTGCTTTGTCAAAGATGAGTTGACCACAGAGTTGAGGGTCCATTTCTGGGCTCTCTATTCTGTTCCATTGATCTATGTGTCTGTTTTTGTGCCAGTATCATGCTGTCTTGATGATGACAGCTTTGTAATAGAGCTTGAAGTCCGGAATTGTGATGCCGCCAGCTTTGCTTTTCTTTTTCAACATTTCTCTGGCTATTCGGGGTCTTTTCTGGTTCCATACAAATTTTAGGATTATTTACTAGGGCTTTTTAAAGCAGAACTTGAGTTTGGCCCACAATCCCTACTCGAGGAGGAGACCTTCGTACAGCACCTTGTGACTCTAAGGGAGAGTGGGGGCCACTTCCAGGCAGAGGTGGTTAAGGGCTCTATATCCATCTCAGCCCCTACCCCTGACTTGGGAGGTCACATATTCCAGAAAGGCTTGGCCGCCGGTGGAGGGGGCTCACCAGACCTGCAGAGTGTGGCGTGAGCACCAAGTAAACCCGTATTCCATCTATCCACTGAGATTTCATTGTTACCACAGCAGAGCCTATCCCAAGCTGACTTTCCACAGAAACAAGAAAGAATGGCCTGCACATCCGGGCTGTTAGTGTCTACAACTGTATTCATCAGTTTCTACGTCTGTGAGATGGGGGTAATAATGGGTCATGTAGGGATCCTGTGAGATACTCCAGGTAAAGCCTAAGTCAGGGTTTGGGCCACAGTAAATGCGATAAACGTGAGCCATGATTGTAGATGTAGAAGGAAGTTTGCTAAAACTAAGTAACATACAGTAGTTATCACTGAATGCAGGACACAAAATAAGTTTCCATCTGATGATAACATACAGCACATTGTGACCTGTGCCCTAGAAGGAGCATCTCAGGAAGGACATCGGGGCAGGCTTCCTGGAGTAGGTGGTCTCTCGAAGCTGGGGAGGAGGCTTTCAGAAAGCCAAACAGGAATCAGGTTGTGACATTCCTGAAAAATATTTAATAAATAAAAATATTTAATAAATACAAGAGTGACATTCCTGAAAAATATTTAATAAATAAAAATATTTAATAAATACAAGAGTATTTAATACCATCTACTGTTATTGCTTGGATTCATTCATTTGTCCATTCTTTGGAGATAAGTATAAACCTCACATTCTTTAATACAAAAATCTTTTTTTTTCTATTCTTGCATTAAGGCCTGGATTTCTGTGACAATGCGGTTTTCTGATTTACTGCTGATGATCATAATCCTGTCTAAAATCAGTAGTTAGCAGCTACTAGGAAATAGAACCTGAGGCGGAAAGTTGGTTTCATGGGTTTACTGTAAGTCAGGATTGCGAGGGGTGCAGGGCACAGAAAATCTCGGGAGAGGATGTGGAAACAGCATTGACATACAGCTTTCCCCGCTATCCGAAAGGACAGTGCACCTGTGAAACTTGTCCGGAGCCAAAATGGCCAAAAGCAGAGAAGCAGTTACCATTAATCTCTCCGGTAAATTCTGCAGCATTCCCAGACCTCCAAATAAATCCTCCTTAGGCTTTTCGGATCCTTAGGACGCACCTTGCTAACTAACGGATGCACACAACAGGTGGAGGTGAAGCCGGATGCTCGCACACAGTTCAGAGCTCGCGGCTCCACGCGGAGATGCCGGGTGTAGTTCCCGCGGAAGACGCTGGGGGCGCCACTCCGGGCCCGGTGCGCCCTGCCTCCCTTTGCTTTTCATCATTTTGCCTAGAAGTGAAAATCCTCTTTGGATTTCTTTCAGTTCGTGAAAATGGGTACAAATGTAGGTCTTTCGTAAAAGCGAAGGGGCATAGCGCAAATTTGGAACAGTGAGGGAGACCTGTATGTACGTATGTGCTTTCCACTGGTTGCGGTGGAGGTTTGGGGCCGAGTTACGGGGCCGAGTTACCATCCTGCTCTTACCTGACGAGGTAAAGACCTTGTCACCACAAAAGTGTTCTTGCTAGGGGGCTCATAATTGATTAATTTACCATCGATTCTTCATTTCTTAACTTATTATTTTAAATAATTAAAAGCAATACTTTTGTTAACTATGAATAAATATTGATATAAATTAATATTGTTAATACAATTAATTCTTAACCAATAACTGACTAATTTTAAAAGGAAAAAAGAACCTTGGAAACATTGACCCCAACAGGTGCCGAGACTTTAGAAATCCCACGTCAAGATGGGGTGCAGATGAAAAAAACTTTTTCTTGCCTGAGCCAGACTAGCTCCAGTGACCCTATACTGGGCCTTTTAATTTGGATTCTGTGGCATTTTGTAATCGTGTATCTGATCTAGTACCTTCCACACCCTAATTTATAAAAACAAAAAAAGGAAGAAAGAAAGAGAAAGAAAGAAAGAAAGAAAGGAAGGAAGAAAGAAAGAAAGAAAGAAAGAAAGAAAGAAAGAAAGAAAGAAAGAAAGAAAGAAAGAAAAAGAAAGAAAGAAGAAAGAAAGAAAGAAGAAGAAAAAGGAAGATGACAACCCTCTTGCCCGTCAGACTAGCACCTCACAGGTAGATGGCAATCACGTTGCAGGGGGAGAAGGTGGAGACGCTCAACCCGTTCACGTCACAGAGCAGAAGATCTTCACAGCCCCATGGGTGAGTCAGCACCCTTTCTGTCCCTTTTTCAGGAGTGGGGAATAGAACTGGAGAGCAGTTGGCTTGCAGGAACTTAGGACACAGAGGGATGGAGTTGGCCGCCAGACAGGCCTCAGAGGGCAGGTCCCACTGCTGGAGCCTTAGTACAGAACAGACGGTGGGGGCCGCAGGGAGCAAAGGGAAGGGGCCTCGGGACTTGCCTTAGAGGCTTGGCTGAGCCAAGGAGGCCGCTGTTGGACACATTCAGCTTGCAGCCAGCAGAAACATAAATAGTCCTGCATTTCCAGGACCCACCTGCAACATCAGATGCTGATGAGAAGAACAGCGTTGGTCCCGGATCTGCTTCTCACCTCCCAAGGGATCTGGGACAAGATAAGTGTCCACGCTGAGCCTCCGGGTATAAAGTGCGCAGGGCGAGGGGCACGGAAGCCAGATTTGGGGTGACTTGTATTCATAGGGTGATTGAGGTACAAATGCAGGGAACTGTTGTGAAGAACTTAATCCAGGACATGTATTCTTGTATCATAAATAAGTTAGCTTGAACTAGTACAACCTTCACAAAAGATGGTGTTATGTATCCCCCTTCCCTCCCCCAAAAAAGATTGTGAGAAATATTGGCTGGAACCGTCAGTGTGGCCACATGGAGGGCAACATAAGCAGTTCACAGGTGGAGACTGACACCATCCTACTGGCAACTGAATTATAATCATCAGCCGCTTTCCTGTGATGTGGTCACAAATTAGACTCACCTGCATCCGAAGGATGATCAGTCTGAGACATGTTATTTTTTAAGAGACTAGGGAGTGGGAAAAGTCACACTTCTGACTGCCCCAGGAGAATCGCCAAGTGGCCTTGTCTTCTGACTTTTTGCTTACCCTGATGTCCTTTGGGCTACAGGAAGGCAGGTCAAGCAAGGTGCCCCAAATAACTTATGTTTTTGACAATTACACCTTCTTTGATTCCTTCCTTCCTTCCTTCCTTCCTTCCTTCCTTCCTTCCTTCCTTCCTTCCTTCCTTCCCTTCTTCCTTCCCTCCCTCCCTTCTTCCCACCTTCTTTCCTTTCCATTCTGGCACCCAGTTCATTAGGTATGGGAACAACCCTGATAAATGTTTGAAGGTTGCAAAATACCATTCATCAAAATGAAGCCAATACTCCAGGTCTGGCCAAACTAAATGGCCACACACCACAATCCTGGGTCTGGGAGGAAAGCTGCCTTATCACCGTCTGAGCTACAAGATGCAAACACATTTCTGGGTTTAGTTGGCACGTACGTCCTACAGAGACACCACCCCGTTCACTTCCGGACACACCGATGTACCAATTCTTTGGCTTCTGCTGCTATAACTTGTGAAATCTTCTCGGAGTGGTTCTTATCTGGGTCAGTTTTTCAGTCTTTCTTTCGACCGGTGCAAGTTTGTCCCAAGCAGCGTTTGCTGCTCCCACTTTGCAGCCAGACATGTCGACCCCAGCCCCCCACCCCCCTCCCCCAGACCACGTGCTCACATCTGGCTCACTCGGCCCCGACACTATTCACAGTTTGCACAGGACGCTTCTGTGTTGTGCTGGACCCTCCTGCCCACCTCGGGAGGCGTGCTGGTGTCCCTGGCCTCTACACGCTAGATGCTAACAGCTCCCCCTATGGTAGTTGTGATGACCCCAAATATCCCCAGTCACTGACAGTTCAGACAAGAGCATCCTTTTTTATTTTGAAAGAGCTAGGGATTTTTTTGTTAGGAAGAAGAGCTTTATAACTCCATGATCCTAATAGCTTGATTCTCAGAAAGAGAGCATGAATGAGATATTTGACTTCTTTATTCATTCAAAGTCCACTCAATTATTTACTCACTCATACATTCAACGAAATATTCATTGATCATCTATTAGGTACCAGGCAACACATTCCGCTTTGGGGATATACTCAGCTTTGAGGTAAGATGGACACTGTTCGTCTTGTTTCACTGGGTTTCTAGAGAAGTGGGGGAGAGTGTAAACAAGTAGTGTTTTGCTAGAGGACACTCAGGGAGCTGTGGGGCCCCGGGGAGGGACATGGGGCCCAGCCGGGTGGGTGGGGTGGGTGGGGATTAGAGCCCACCTTCCCTGCTCGGAGCCTGGCTCCTTTAACACCCACCCCCTTTCCCTCCCCCTGCCTGCCTCCAGGTGGAAGCCCTTCCTTCATTTCTGGGCACCTGCTCTTCTGTCTGGTGCCCGTGGCCCCTGGTTGTAGTGCTCAGCTAAGAACAGCAGAGAGCAGCTTGAGATCGTGGCTGGGCCAAGGCTGAGCCAGCCTGCTGAGATCACTGGAATCTGGAAGGATAAGTGGCTCCTGGCAGAGAGACCCTGGAAGCAGAGCATCGGCCAACACGACAGGCAGGCCCTCCTTCCCTCACCTCTGCCCGGTTGCCAGCACGAAGCCCTGTTTCCTGGCCTTCTGACCTCAGAGAAGTTGGCTGGGTCTGTGGCAAAATGGCCAGAGTCGGCTGAAAGGGACGGTTTTTCTATAACTGGCCTTTGCTGTCAGACCTGCTGGGCAAGGCAGGAGGAATGCCATCTCTCTTGCTTCCTGCAAGCCTCCTCCAGCGTTAAGAGCATGGGGGAAATGGCTTTGCAATTAGTTTCAGGTGAGTGGAAGGGACAGTCCCTCCCCATACAGACAACCCAAGGTCCCAAGCAGATCCTTCTTTTCTAGCAAATAATCGGACATTACTCTAGCTCATGGTTGGGGTGAGAGAGAGCTTGGTTGATGGGACACAGTGACCTGGGTTCTCACCTTCCCACCCCCATCAAAGCTTCCCTCTTCTCATCTTCTTTCTGTTGGGCAAAAGTGGTGCGCTGCAAAGATTTGTTCCAAAGAGGTGCTAAGAGATGGTATAAATTTAATTTCCCACTCCCCACCCCCACTTCCCCAAATCACTTAGCTGGTACCTCACTGTAAGCAAGCTCGTCCCCAGTTATACCCCAAGAAAGGGTCAACTCAAGGGAATGTGTTTGCTCACATAATAGGGCTTTACCTAAGTAGGGTTTCTCAACGTGTGGTCCAAGACCACCTGCATCAAAACTCCTTATAAAGATATGGATTACCACCGTGTGGCAGTGTCTGCTGGAATTAGACACATACCTACTCGGTGGTCCATTGATCCCACACCCAAGTATGTGCAAGAGAACGCAAGATAGGGATAAAAACATTTGAGCAGGGCTAGTCAAAAGAGCCTCAAGCTGAGTTCAGTCTGGATGCCCATCAACAGAAGAATGGGGGAACACATTATCGTTGGTCCACATTCAGCAATAAAAGTGAACCAATTACCCTTCCAGGTAACAACTTGGAATTCATCTTGTCAACATGCTGTGAAGCAGGAGAAACTAGACACAAAAGAGTGAATACAACATGGTTCCCTTTATGTGAAATTTGGGAACAGACTAAGCTAATCCGTGTTGAGAGAATAATGGCTACCTGGGGTGAGGGGAGGGGTTATTGATTGGGAAAGGGCATCTGGAATGTTGGAAGCGTTCTTCATCTGGATCTGAATGGTGACTGGCATAGACATACGTGAAAAACCATGTACATGCTGGTAAATATGCTGCGATATTACGTATACCACGATCCATTCTTACAGCAGGATTACATTAGCTTTACAATATCTTCTAATATCTAACAAAAGGATCTATTTTTTAATTTCTTTTTCAACATATTTTGTCATTACTTTCTATCTTTCTATGTGTTCTTCAAGATCAATTTCAAAGTTACTTTGTCATGTGAAAAATTACCTCACTGACCATGTCTTTATTATTATTACAGAGTTAGGTGTGTGCTTGCCAAACATATCCTATTTAGTGATACTTACCTAGATGGTAAATCTACAAAGAACAGCATAGGAATGATCAAATGATTTCTGTAGGTCTGGAGTCTGGGCACAGCTTAGCTGTGTTCTCTGTTGGGCTATAACCAAGGTGTTAGTTGGGGCTGTGGTCTCATCTGAGGCTCTACTGGAGGAAGATCTGCTCCCTAGCTCACGTGATTATTGACAACACTCAGTTTCCTGTAAGCTGCTGGGCTGAGGGCCTTAGTGTCTTGCTGGCTGTGGACTGAAGGCTGCTCCCAGTTCTTAGCCGTATGGCCAGCTCAGCATGTTGGTACATCCATATGTTACCATCTTTCGTAACATAATCACACACATGCAATCACATACACTCCCTCACTTTTGTTATATTCTCTATGTCTAGAAGAAGGTCACGGGTTCTATCCACACTCAAGGGGAGGGATCACACAAGAACATGAAAGCCAGATCATGGACCCACCTTAAGAGTCTGTCCACCCTAGATGGTTACATGGATATTCATTTAATTATCTGTTAAACTGTGTGTGTGTGTGTGTGTAATATTTCTAAACCTATGATACATTTCACAATTTAAGATTTTTAAAACTAAAGCAATTTTTAAAATAAATTTATTTTATTAAATTTTTTTATTATTATTAAATATAATTAAATAAAATAAAAGAATAAATTAGTTTGGATCTGAGTGTGTCCAGGAACAGCCAAACAAAGAGTCTCTTGGCCATAGGCGAACAAATCTGAAATGAAGTCTAGAAGTGACTCAAGTGCTCAGAAGAGCTGACTCTTCTTCAGAGATACTGGAAGTTGCTATTACTCAGAAGGCACTCTGCATTGCACTTGGAAATTTTTGAATTGTTTCAATTTCTTTTTTTACTTGAAAAAAGAAAATCGTTTTAACCTAAAACTAATTTGAAAAGAATCAACATTTTTACAATATCTACCATGTGCACAGACCATCTCTCCAAAGGTCGAATCTTCTCTAATATCCCTCAGTAAAGATTGGTGGTGGTTATGCTCATTAACCTGCCTCACCTCTATTGCTAAATTTATTCCCATGTAGTTCATGGTTTTTAATTGCTGTCCTGAATGAAGTCTTTGTTTTTAAGTATGATTTCTCCTTCCTGTTGCTATTCACCAGGAACATGACCGAATTTTGGATATGCACCAAAATTTTTGCTAAATGATTTTGTTTTTTTAAACAAAAGTCTTTGTTAAATAACTAACGACTTTGCTCCCATACTAATTTTAATTTCTATTTTCTTAGGTTCTGTAAGCACATGATGGGGACATCTGGGAACTCTGACATGTTTTGCCTCCTCTTTTTTGGTGGCTATAACCCTGATTTCGGTCTACTGGAAGCAAAATTTTTAAAAAACGTTAACCTTCGGAGTCAGATAAATCAAGACTGTCAGCAACATTCTTGGGCAAGCCACTCAACCTCTCCGTGCCTCAGTTTCCTCTTCGGTAGCCTGGGCCCATCATAGACTCTTCTTTATTGGGTAATTGTGAGGATAAGATATTACTGACTTTTAGCACAGTGTCTGTCTCAAAGCTCAGCACGTGTTAGACAAAGCATAATTGTGACTATATTTTAAGAGGAACTTAAATAAAAATGACAGAGAAGAGACACCCAGGTTGTTAATACCACACTGAGTGGTGGGAGCAAGCATAAACTGATGTATGACATATGTTCTGTTTCCTTCCTCCCAGGGACTGTGCTAAGTGCTTTCCAAGCATCCTCTTAATTGACCAACAGCCTCAGGATGGCCATTCCAGCATCACATAACTCACTTGGAAGGAAGCAGGACTCAAGCCCAGCCCACCTCCCTGCAAAGCCTGTGCTCATCTCTGTTGGTCCATCCTGGGGGGAGCATCAGACATTCATTCTTCCCAGGGCTCTTAACCTTGGCCAAACATTAAGAACATCTGAGGATTGCTAGCAATGCATCCACGCCTGAGCCTCACCACAAACTAAATGGATCTGGCTCTTCGAAGGTGATTCTGACATTATTAATTCTTTCAAGGCTCCCTGGGTGATTGTAACGGCCAGGGTTGAAAACCACTGATGGCCCCAGTGTGGCCTCTATAACATTAACATTTCAGACAGTGATCATGGAAGTCTGGAAGTCTGGCCCCACCTTCCAGATGAGTTCAAGTGCATTCTCCCTTTCTTTGCCATAAATTAATTCATCCTTGCCACTTGTGATGATTAGTTTTATGCACCAACTTAGCTGGGCCACAGTGGCCAGTTATGTGGTCACACCTTGTCCTGGATGTTTCCGTGAAGGTGTTTTCTGGGTGAGATGAACATTTAAATCAGTAGACCTTGAGTAAAGCAGATTGCCTCCACAATGCAGGTGGGCCTCATCTAATCAGTTGAAGGCTTTCAGAGGAAAAAGACTGACCTCCTCTGAGCAAGAAGGAACTCAGCAGCAGATGGCCTTTGGACTCGGCCTGCAACTCTTCTCTGGGTCTGCAGCCTGCTGGTCTGCCCTGCAGATTTTGGACTTGTGCCTCCACAAATCATATGAGTCAATGCCTTAATATATATATACATATATATATATGTATATATATATTAAGAAATATATATATATATACACATCCTATTGGTTTCATTTTTCGGAGAACGCTGACTAATCACTACCATAATGGAAACTGACCTCTTGTTCAACACAATCACAATCATTTTTCTTTGGAAAACCACAACTTGGGAATGGGTGATACAGAGGCATGGATTTTCAGTCTAGGGGAGAATAATACAGATCACTCAGTCCAACTGGAACAGAGGCACGAAGGTTGAAACACCCCTGGGTTGATCTTGCCCCTCAGGAGACATTGAGCAATGCCCAGAGACTTTTTTGTTGTTGTCACGAGGGGGTGGGGGATGGGGGATGGGGATGAGGGTACAAGGGTGCTCCTGGCTTCAGGCGGGCAAGGGGCGGGGGACGCTACGAAACATCCTGAAACGCACAGAATTATCATTAAAAGGCAAGAGTGCCCAGGTTGCGAAACGCTGGTTAGGATGGGGAAATAGTTATTTGTTAAGGAAATTAACTTCTCACTCCGTGCAAGGAGGGGGATCGCAGTCAAATCAGGAAGGAGCTCAAAAGAGGCCACAGGAATCTGACGGGCAGACTGGACAAACAGGCGGGGCCAATATCACCGAAAAGGCCAAGTGGCTTCAGGGAAGCTCTTGAGAGACCAGCCCTACCACGGAGGGAGGCCTGGGAGTCCAGCCAGTGGGAAGCCCACGGGCATGATGCGGCTCGAATTATGCTCCTAAGCGGCCGTGAGCTCAGAAGCTCTCCCAGAGGCGCCAAGGGCTGAGCGCGGCGGGACCAGAGGCGGTGAGTAGCCGTCTTGTGTTTTGTGGCTGTGGTTTGTGATGTTGTTTTAAGAATCGGGGGGCCCAGTGGGCAGAGCTAGGCGGCCAGAGTTCTGCCCCCCCCCCCTCTCTGCACATGGCTTCACATCCTCACTTCTCAGCAACTGGGCTGCATCCGGTGGGGTGGGGGGCGGTAAGGCTGGGTGATGCTCTGAACATAAGACTGCACGGAGACAGCCAGCCCTCAGCGAGGGTATAGAGAGCGTCCTTGAAGAAGGGCCAAAGGTGAATTAGTGATAAGCAAGTGACACTTCAGTTCCTTCGTCTGTAAAATGGGGACAGGGAAACACCTAAGGAGGTCGCGTGGAGCCGGTGGATGATAGAGTGATGGGACTGAGAACGTTAACACCCCAGGGATGTTTCCAGAATGGTGTTGAAAACACAGAAAGCCAGAAATGCAGGGCCGCATTAAGATGAAGGCAACCAGCAGCCACTTGACCAAAGGCACGGAAGCTGCTGGGACACGCAGGCTGGAGGGGGAAAGCTATACGTCAAGATGTTAGCAGGGGGCGCCTGGGTGGCTCAGTTGGTTAAGCGACTGCCTTCGGCTCAGGTCATGATCCTGGAGTCCCTGGATCGAGTCCCGCATCGGGCTCCCTGCTCGGCGGGGAGTCTGCTTCTCCTCCTGACCCTCCCCCCTCTCATGCTCTCTGTCTCTCATTGTCTCTCTCGCAAATAAATAAAAAATCTTAAAAAAAAAAAAAGATCATCAAAATGTTTAAAAAAAAAAAGAAGATGTTAGCAGGGCCACGGTCCATTCTGGGGGCTCTCAAGGAGAGGGCATTCCCTCGCTGCTTAGAGCTTCCTGAGGCTGCCCCTGTTCCTCTGCTCATGCCGCTCCTCCATCTTCAGGGGGGACAGACTCCTCCCCACCTCACGTCTCTCTGACTCTCCCTCTTCTGCTTCCCTCTTCCACTTTAAAGGACCTTTGCGATTATATTGGGCTCGCCCGGATAATCCCAGATAATCTTCCCATATTAGGGCCAGTTTATTAGCAACTCTAATTCTGTCTGAGACCTTAATTCCCCCCCGGGCCACGTAGCCTGACACGGCCACAGGTTCCGGGGATGCCCGAGCAGAATCATGGCTGAGGAGAGAATTGTCCTGTGCGAAGCATACCTGGGGCAAATCGCAGGTCTCTTCTCTCATAGGGGTTGTGCATCCTAGAGAGGAGACAGATACGGAGAAGTAGTAATACATACCGAACACTAATAAATGATAGAGAACCCATAGTGTGGTCCAGGGATGGAGAGTTATGGCGCACAGTGTGACGGTTTCAGCCGCATGGTCACGGGAAGCCTCTGAAAAGGTAACATCTGAGCAGAGCACTGACCGTGGAGGAGGAAAGTCCATTCTGAGGCTGAGTTCCAGGCAGAGGGAAAAGCAAGTACCGTGGCCCTGAGGCATGTTTAGGGGATTGGGAGAAGCCAGGCGTGGTGTTGCTGGTGCGCGAGGTGACAAGGGGAAGAGAGGAGGGAGACGAGGCTGATGACAAAGGCAGGGGTCAGATCATTGGATCATTGCTGGCCAAAGGGTCTGGGTTGAATTCTAAGGAAAATGGGAAACCACTGGAGGGTTTTAGGAAGGGTAACAGCATGCTCTGTCTGACATTTAAAATGCTCAGTCTTGGGGCGCCTGGCTGGCGCTGTAAGGAGAGCGTGTGAACCTCGATCTCAGGGTCGTGAGTTCAAGCCCCACATTGGGGGTAGAGCCTACTTGAAAACAAACAGGTGGTCTCAAAACCCTGTATGAGAGCATCTTACTAAAACATAAAGATATCGGTAGAGAGAACATAAAGAGCTCAATAAACATATTTTAAAAATAATAATAAATAGGGGCGCTTGGGTGGCTCAGTTGGTTAAGCATCTGACCTTTGATTGCCGTTCAGGTCATGATCTCAGGGTCCTGGGATCAAGCCCCATGACTGGCTCCGTGTTCAGCAGGGAGTCTGCTTGAGCTTCTCTCTCCCTCTCCCTCTGCCCCTCCTCCTCCCCCTCCCCCGTGTATGCGAACTCTCTCTCTCAAATAAATAAGTAAATCTTAAAAATAATAATAATAAATACAATGCTTAGTCTTACTGCTGAGTGCCAGTGGATTGCAGGGGAGACGGGGGAGGCAGCGAGAGCAGGGCGGAGACGCTGCAGGGATGCAGGAGAAGGTGGGGAGGGCTGGCCCAGCATGGAGTGAGCAGAACGGGCAGTGGTGGGGTCGGTCGTACGACTAGAGCCCACAGGACAGGGTATGTCGGGCGAGGGGAACAGTGAGGGACCGAGGAGGGTTAGATTTTTGGCTTGAGCCCCTGTGTGTGTTGACTGAGACTGAGGGAAGATGAGCCTGCACGTGAAACCATGTGGCTTCTCTTTGGCCACAGGGAGGGGGCTGGTGAGCTCGGAGAAGAGATCCTTTGGGTCAGGGGTACACGAGCACCTCTCTTCCAACGGATGAGTGCCTGTCATGGGGAGCAGAGGTAGCCTTGGTCCCCTGCGCCCTTAGATGCCAAACACGAAGCCCAGGGAAGGCCAGGGAGACAGGCAGATTTCAGCTCGCCTGGATATCTCAGGATGGAAGTGGCATGAGACACGAGGTCTGAGGAAGGAGCATGCAGCTTCAACTCTGCTGTCACTGGCATGTGACTGGGGACAAGAGATTTCAAGTCTTTGCAACTCCATTCAATATTCCTTAGACAGCAGAAGTCGTACTACCATAATGCTAACCATCAGAGCAGGCGTTCAGAGCGTGCCTTTCCCGTGCCCCAGGCACTGTGCTCAAGCTTTCCAGGTAATAACACACTTGCCCCTCATGGCAGCCTGATGACAGGTGTGTGTCATCGTCCTTGTTACCCTAGATAGAGAGGAGACTCAGAGGGTGAGGGACAAAGCGCACACGGCAAGTAGGGGGACAGTCGTCCTACATTGTACGGTGTCTACAGGACACAGAGTGGAATATGCCTCTCCTTCATCTCGACCTTCCAGAAATATCAACCGAAATGCGGTGTGTATGGTCATGAATGTTTTGTGGCAGCACAACGCTGAGCAGTTTCAGCATCAAAATTAAACGGTCTCAACAGCCTGAAATTGCGGACAGAAACCAGCAAGTTGGTGCAGAACGTGGACCGAGGGCAAGGCGTTCTGCATTTCGATTTCAGATCCAGGCCCACCGACCCTCACTACATGGCTCAGACCACAGCTGGAATGTTCCGTTCCATTCGGGGGCCCCTCAGTTGAGAAGCATCCTGATAAGCTGGATTCTCCGTGATCGGACGAATGAGATCACATCAAAACAGGATGTCGGTTGCATGCAAGGACACCAGGGACAGATTCATGGAGACAGACGGGAGCAAAGTATTTGTCATAGCTGAAACTGACGTGTGACTATAGTCGACCCTTGAACCACACGGCGGTTGGGGTCCTGACTCCTGCACAGTTGAATATCCATGTACAACTTTTGACTCCCCCCAAAGTTAACTACTAATAGCCCACTGTTGACCAGAAGCCTTACGGATAACCTGAATAGTTGATTGACCCATGTTTTGTATGTTGTATGTATTATATACTGTGCTCTTACAGTAGAGTAAGCTGGAGAAATGTTGCTAAGAAGTTCATAAGGAAGAGAAACTATGTGTGCAGTATTGTAGACGTGGACTCACCCAGATCAAACCTGCATCCTCAGGGGGTCAGCTGTATCCCTACAATGCACAAGGGACTTCTGGAAATTCCTAAGAAAGACAGCGATGACAACGGAGGAATAGCGAAGGATGGCAAATCACAGATACAGGAACAGGAAACTTGACCGATCTTTTGAAGAGAGTTTCCACAGCAGCTAATTCCCAGAGGCTTGAAGATGAAACCAGTGCACCTGTTTCGACTGGTCGCACTGGGAGACTGGGTGACTCACTGCTGAGTGCACAGGAAGCTCTGTGATTTGGGACAATGATGTCTCAGCAGGCAATGCTCAGTGTCAGTGGGGATGTGGGCATGGACACGGACCTCACTGGACGTGGGGATGTGGGCATGGACACGGACCTCACCGGAGGTGGGGTGTGGGCATGGACACGGACCTCACCGGAGGTGGGGTGTGGGCATGGACACGGACCTCACTGGACGTGGGGATGTGGCTGGGGCAAACTCTCTCAAATTAAATAAACTCATTATTATCTAGAGCCCAATAATCCAAGCCAAACAAACCCACCCCAGCCCACAAGGGGACAGCTAGGAGCACATTCACGGCTGTGTTGGCCTCGAGCTGAAGGCCGCCTGGGTCTCCATCCCGGGGTAACGATTTCCCGTCAGTCCAGTGAAGCTGGTACATTTTCTCCCATTTTACAGATGAACAAACTGAAGCTCAGGGAAGTAGAGTAACTCGACCAAGGTCATACTGCTCATAAATGGCAAGGCTGAGACTCACATTCCAGTTCCTACGTCAGTATATTTGCCCACCTAACCACCCTCTCATGACAGGAAAGAAGAGGCAGAATTGGCAAAAAACCCTCTTTCCCGTCACTCTCACGGCTCCTTCCACCTTGTATTCCTTCCTTTGTTCCAGATAAAAGCAGGAGAAAAGATACGATTACAGAAAAAAAGAGGTCTGGAAGGAGTGAGGGTGGAGGAGTCAGTTTGACCTAGAATTCTGACTTCAGTTAAGATTCTTACCCGGCCCCTGATGATGTTTTGCGTAATCAAAATTCCTAAGAGATAACTAACAACGAACATATGTTAAGCCCAGTTGCTGGGCACTGTTCTAAGGATTTTACGTCTGTGTCAGTTAATCCTCACAGCAACCCCACGAAGCAGGTGGGATGTTTATCATCTCGATTCACAGACGCAGGAACAGAAACCAGAGAGGTTAGGTGACTTGCCCAAGGTCACACAGCTGGACTATGAAGCCAGGCTCTCTGAGTGTGGGCTCCACACTTGCAGGAGGCGGAACTCAGCCCGGAAGCCCAGTGCAGTGAGGCAGAACCGCTAATCTGGATTGGCTCCCACCGTGCTCCAGGCTAACTTCACTTTGGACGGATCACAGAACCACCCTCAGCCTTGGTTTTCTTGGCGCCAGGCATGGATAGAGAAGGTGTTCCCTCCTACGGCTGTTATGAGATGTAACATCAGCAAGGTCATCAACAAATGATTATCAGTCATGTGTCATTGTTGTGGGATTGCACACATGTTCCCCGGAGGCTGTGTGTGGGTCCATGGGGGTGGCCAGAGGATCCCCGAGGAACGAGCGTGGGAGGGAGGGTGGTGACTGCATTTAAGAGGGAAGTGAAGGAGGCGGGGTTGAGACACTGGGCCCTGGCAAGGAGACAAGATTCGTTCAGATGACTGACCAGGGCCCGGAAAATCCAGCCAGGGTTGGCTCCGGATGCTTGAATGGGAGGAGGGAAAACATGGGGGAGAGCCAGCCCCCAGGCTTTGGCACCCGACAGATCTGACTTAGAGTCTCTCCTCATCTCCGCCGGTGTGTGACCTTGACACCTTCCTCAGGCTTTCCTTGCTCAGACATGGGGTCTCGCTGGAGCCCTTGCAGGGCGCTTGGGGACTCGGGGAGCTGAGCTCAGGCGTGCAGGCTGCCCGGCATGTGGCAGTCGCTGGGTAAGCCCCGCCTTCCCTATCCGTTGAGGACCAGGAACACAGGGGGCTGAGCTCTGCTGGCCTTGGCCCAAGTCTGCCCTCGTGACTGCAGACAACGGGCCTGATTTGCCTGCTTGGGTTTCCTGATTTCTCCTTTACAAAAACAGGAAGGAAAACTGGTGATGTCCCTTGGCAACCCCCCTGGCTTTCAGTCTCTGCAGTTCTTTTTTTTTTTTTTTTTTTAAGACTTTATTTATTTATTTGAGAGAAAGAGTGAGCCCAGGGTGGGGGGAGAGGCAGAGGGAGAAGCAGGCTCCCTGCTCAACAGGGAGCCTGATGCGGAGCTCAGATCCCAGGACCCTGAGATCATGACCTGAGCTGAAGGCAGATGCTTCACTGACTGAGCCACCCAGGCGCCCTGCCGTTAGTTCTTACAATAAAGACATTTTCTTTTTTCCTTTTTTAACTTGACTTTCAGAAGATCAAGATGGGTTTTTTTAATGAAATGTTAAAAATCAGAATTGGGAGAAAATAGCACCAGATCAAAAGAGGGGAAGACTCTAAGATTTTATTTGTCTCCCCGTGTCCCAACTTGCTCCAACACCAAAACCCAGCAGAGGAACGGAGTGTGTTTTTCAGCAGACGCATGCCTCCAGCAGAGAGCAAGGACCGACATCATGACCGACCCTATAAATGGAGCCCTGGTTCTCTGGAGCCCTTGCAACCTTTCCCCACGAAGTAGCCAGTCTTCCGTTTTTATATGTGAGCACTTAAATAGGGGAAAACAGGGAAAGGAAAAGGAGTGATCATGAAGCATTGTGGGAGGGAAGCACTGGGATGGGAGAGGTTGTCAGATGTTCACCAGATGGGCTGATGGCGTGAGTTCCCCTGTGTCCTCCTTGGGCCTCCAAGTGGACAATCTGTACGGAAGGAATCAGGATATAATGTCCTGGCTGAGGACCTTGGCTCTGCTCTCAGTACTGCTCCAGGATGACAGTAGATTTCCAATGATTTCCACGCGGCGCCCCGGAGCAGAACCTTGCAGGAAGGTCAGATCAGTGTCGGCTCCTCACTGCTTAGCTCTATGTTTGACTTCATGAACTCGTTTTTGGAAACAAGGGTATCAGTGCTTGGTTCTCATGGTGTGGGCTGGTCCTGTCCTCATCCGAGTGTCACTCAAGAACACACTCCAGTGATGGTTCAGCCAGCCTTTCATTGCACCTTTAGCATGAAGCCGCTGAGCTTTTGTTGGGTACTTCATATGAGTCAGACACCGTGCTGACTCACCGTGTTGGGGGTACAGTGGTGACAGGGACAGACACACAGTCCCAGTTTGGGGGAGACAGCAAACACCAGGCGACAGACAGAATGATCACAAAGGGTGACAAGCACCGGGAAGGATGCCAACGAGGGGCTGTATGGAGAAGAAAGGCAGGGCGTGGAGGCAGTGCAGAGTGTCCTGCCAGGGCAATGGGAAGCTGGCGGTGGCCCTACAGAGAGGTGCTGAGAGTGGGTGGCAGTCAGGTGACAGAGGAAGTGACACTGAGAGGCAGTTTGGATCTAGAACCGGTGAGCATTACGGATGCACGATGAGGTTGAAAAGGAAGCAGAAGGAACAGGATGCTGCCAAGGTTTCTAGCTACCCAAGGAAGCTGGGAGAGCTGCTTATGGAGATGTCGGGGCAACAGGGGACCCAGGATGGGGGTAAAGTTTGGGAGAGAAACTCAAGAGTCTGTGAGTCCTGCAGGTGATACTGTCCGGTGCGTAGTCGGATGTGTGGGTCTGGAGCTTAGGGGAGTGTTCTGAGTCGGGGAGACAAATTTCAGAGCTGTCAGCCTACAGATGCCCTGGCCTTCAAGGTGCACTTGATCTGGTCGGGAACAGGGTTTATAATGAACAGTAGCATGCATCACAAAACCAAGATTTACATTAGACAGAAAACCAGGTGAGCAGAAGGACACCCACCATTTCTGTAGGGGGTGGAGTGTGAGGAAAGGATATTTGAACTGAGTCTTGAAGGATGAGTGCATTGAGCAGGCGTCTAGGCTGAGGCACAGCCTGGGAAAGGACTCATACTATCCAGGGAAAGAGGAAATGGTACGTCCAGCACGGGTGGAGAGCCAGGAGACACAACGCTGGAGAGTTACGTGTAAGGTCCAGCTTTCAGAGAGCCTCGTGCACCACCTCGGGCCACAAAGCAGATGACCAGACACACCCCGGAAGCTCTGGCTATGGGACCTGTCCCCCTCTGAGTGGCTGCAGGTCAGCAGTGGATCATTTAGGCTTGCACCCATGCCAAGCTGATGTACCCACCATCCAAGCTCGGATTACTCTCTTGTTCAGTCAGCTGGTGTTATGGACTGAATGTGTGTGCCCACCCCCCCACCCCAGTTCCTTTGTTAAAGTCCTGACCCCCACTGTGACCCTATCTGGAGATAGGGCCTTTATGGAGGTGATTAAGGTTCAAGAGGCCATAAGGGTGGGCTCTGATCTGAGAGGATTAGTGTCCTTTAAGAAGAGACACCAGGGAAGTTGCCCTTTCTCCCTTTCCGCCAGGTGAGGACCCACCGAGAATGCAGCCCTATCTGCAAGCCAGGAGGAGAGTTCTCACCAGAACCCAACCCTGCTGGAAACTTGATCTCAGACTTCCAGCCTCCAGAGCGGTGAGAAAACAAATTCCTGTGGTTGTGCCACACATTCATGGTATCGTTGTTACGGCAGCCTGAGCAAACGATGCTGGTCAAAGGGAATTTCCCATAAGGCCAAAGGTGTGAGCTGCGAGAGAAGCATCAGCTAAAGGAGAAGCAAAGCTGAGGGAGAAGCTTTGGCTGAGGGAGAAGCAACCATGCAGCAGAGGCAGATGACCTGGGCCACCTGTTCACGCAATTTGCTTGTGCTCTCTGGACTTTCAACCCTATGTGTACCTCTTCCAGCAGGGCCCACCCGACCCTAGAAAATGTCAGGGTCATGAGGGACCACAGGCTCAGATGATGTCTCATGCTCAGATACAGCTTCTACTAAGGCCCAGCAGCATACCAGTAGTTGATTTCAAACAGTGCACAGTTCTCTGCTGCAGATGGCATGACCTCGCTCTAGACCCTCCGTGGTCTACACCGTGACTCTCCTCGTGGGGCCTGCAGAGACTCCACCTGGCTTCTCTCTCCACAAAAGCCTGTGGTTCTCTGGGATCATGCCTCTCCCTGGGCCTGCCACACAGGCTTTCCCTACCTGGGGTCCCGCTCAAACCTTCCACATCTGATAAATAGGTGGAAATGGTATCCCTAAGTGTGGAATGTGTGCCTCCCAAACCTGGAGAGGCCTATCAAAGGTTATACTTCTTTCCCAGATGTAAGAGATACAGGTGCGTTACTTTGTCCTTCACCTTAGAGGGGACTTTCCAGCATGCCCTGGACCATGGACCCCTAAGAGCCTCACTGATGTGACCCTTGGCTCTTTGGATCCTAAAACCTTGGATTGTCTGAGCGCCGTTGGAGTACATCACGATGACAGAAGAACGAGTTGATCCCTACAGGAAGACTGTACGTGGGTACCATTTTGTTCCCTGCGGATGTAAACTGCTTCTGGTCCTTCTCTCCAATCAGTATAGAAAAAGATCGAGTTGCCAGTTAGTAGCTGCATCCAACATACCTAAGGCTGAGTTAATCCATGCTAGAAAGCTTGCTATATCAGGCAGTAACTGCAATTGGTGCTCTACTACTTGGTTAAGTTTCCAAAGTTCCAGGGTCTTCTGCTATGATCCATATGGTTCCTGTAGGGTCAGCCTGGTGAATCCAATGGGGATACAGCAGGAACCTCCACTCCTGGATGCTTCAATACTCTTAGGGTGACATTGACCTTTGCAACATAATAATATAACAAACACAAACAATGCAATATTGTTTCTCATTTACTATCTTGGCAGGAGGCGGAAGTTCTCCGGCTTTCTTATGCAATAACTCTGACTCTGCAGGTCAAGGAACCAATGTAAGAGTTCTTCTGGTGGCTCAATGTGTCTTTCCTAAATCCCACAGGGTGGGATTGTTGACTCAGCGTGCCACTGTATGACATACCTGGGCAAGAGCTATACTGACTACTTGTTCCTATGCAGTTTATTCTAACGGGGGGCTGCGACAACGCTGGATATCAGTGCCAACCCAGGCCCCGTATCCATGTCCAATTGCTAATTTGCCCCAGTGTAGGGTTACTTGAGTAAATGGCCACAAAGTCTTTGGGGGACTAAATGAGGGAATCCCTACCATATCTGCTCACTGTCCCACCTTAAGGCAATGGGACCTGCTGTTTGTGCCCTGGTATCAGATAGTCAGTGGTGGGAATTTAGGAATTTATGGTGTCCTATGGCTGCCATAACAATAGGCATTTGTTCTCTCACGATTCTGGATCTGACGCTCCACCTGTAAGGCTCACCTCCCTTGCCTCTGCCTCCTCTTGGCCCCACCGGATTCTGCTTTTACCTAAAATGTTAATATTGTGTTCATCGTGGACTTTATTGCATTTATTTTGACTTTTAAAAAATGTTGCATTGGATATTTGTCTTGATGATTAAGGTTTCGGTACCTCCTGAGATTTTGCTGCCAAGGCAAATGCCTCACTGACCTGACCCTCGCCCCAGGTCTGGGAGAAGGAGCAGCTAGAGAAGTAGAGGAAGGGGGCGCCTGGGTGGCTCAGTCGGTTAGGCGTCTGCCTTCAGCTCAGGTCATGATCCCAAGGTCCTGGGATGGAGCCCAGCATCGGGCTCCCTGCTCTGCGGGAAGCCTGCTTCTCCCTCTCCCACTCCCCCTGCTTGTGTTCCCTCTCTCGCTGTGTCTCTCTCTGTCAAATAAATAAATAAAATCTTAAAAAAAAAAAAAAAGAGAGAAGTAGAGGAAACACAAGAGCATGTTGTCTTAGAAGCCGAAGAAAGAAGGTTTACCAAGAAGCTGATACAACAGGATGAGTGTCAACATCATGCGAAGTAAATTAAGCCAGACATAGAAGGTCATCAATTATATAATCTCATTTATATGAGCTGGTTGTAACATTGAAAAAGGGAAAACAATCTACATGACCAACTGGTTAAATGGCATATGGCCATCCAAAAGAATATAAAACAGCCATTAAAAATGATGTTAATGATGAAGAGAAATATTCTGGAATGTAAAGTGCAAAAAGCAGGATGACAAAGTATAAACAGAGTATAGAAACAACCGTGTAGAATTATATGTATGTAGAGTAAAAGCAAAATGGTCACCTACGCGAAGAAAAGAGCGCCTTCTGTATGTGATCACGTATATAAAACTCTTTAGAACGCACACTAATCCATAGTGACGCAAAGTGGATCGGTGGCTGGATTACAGAGAGGCACGAGGCACGTTGATATGTATGTTTACTACTTGAATGGGGTGATGGCTTCACGGGTGTCAAAATTCTGGGTCCGCTCAGCTTCTAATTAAACATGTACACTTAAGAATACAGTAACACAATAACCTCAGTACACTTGTTTATTGATTTATTTTTACTCTGTGCTGGCAACGCGAGAAGACATTTCATATGTCATGTCTTTTAATCCTGACACAAAGTTTGTGAGCTAAGAATCACATTTTCCACTTTACAGAGGAAGACAGTAAGACTCAGATTTAAGGAAACTGGTACAGAGTCATGCAATGCGCAAGAGGAGGAACGCAAATTTTGCTAGCTCTCATCTTTGTGCTCGTAACTGTTATGCTATATATTTGGATAACAACAGTACCCCCCCCCCCAACCATGGTGGGCTGGGAGCGACGCGTGGGTCCTTGGGAAGGTGCGTTCTGGCCGCCTCAGACGGTCTACTGGGACAACACTATTGATAAATGTTAGCTGGAGCTCACAGTCCAGTCCTTTTCATTGATAACCGACAAAGAAGACTCGGTCCCTTAAAGATGGAGAAAGGATATGGCCATTCGGAGCCTCTCAACGAACGTATTTTAGGAATGCCAACCTTTCAGAGGTACCTGGCCCCTGCCGAGGCGGGCTGTGGGAATATCTGGTCCAGAAACTTGCCCTCAATGAAATCTATCCCATTTTCATAATTGCCCCTTTTCTGCTCTCATCACTGCCTCCCTTGTGATTAAAAATGCCAATTGGTAAAGGATGAGACTGCCATTTTAAATTCGTCCCTGAGTCCCTGGGCTCGGGAGGGGCTCGGGGCTGGCAGCCCCAGGTGCAGACTCCTAGGATCGGATGAAGGAGTCAGTAATTCCACCTGGCGGCGTTGGACCCATTTAGGAAGAAGACATTTGGATCAGGTGGTGGTGACCAGCAGCGAAGGCAGAGGAGGTGGCCCGATGCCCACAGGCCAGCCTGTGTCACAAATTCACATCGCAGACTCGAGTGAGGGCAAGCAGGTGGCACCTGACTCAGCAACTCCGCTGCCTGGGTCCCACTGCCTGCTTGTAACTGGACTCAGTGGGGAAAGTGGTAGGATCCGTTAAGGATGTCCGCTATGGCAGGGGGAGGGGAGAGGGACAGTTCGAAAACCCTGCCTTTGCTGCTTCTTGGCTAATGTAGGCTAGGAAGGCACAGCGAGGCCAAGTGGCTGAAGGCTTCCATATTCTGCTGAAGAATTTAGGCTTTTTGTATACCAGAGGTTTGAAGCTTACTTTCTCCATTTTAAAACGGAGAATACCATAACCAGAAGATTTCGGGGTAGATATTGAGGGTTTCTTGGAAAAAAGCAAGACTTAGGTTGAGTTTAGAGCGATGATTGTGACCAGAGACACGGAAAGAAGGGAGGAGAGAGTTCTGGATCCCCTCAGCCTCTGCTGGGAAGCGGTCGGAGACGCAAGGAGGCTGTCCAGGGCCAGGTGGACACGGGCCTCCGGCAAAGCCAGGTGGGGGTGGCACACCAGGCTGGGGGACAGAGTGGGGTGTCACAACCACACACCTGACTCATCTGTTGCCAGACCACCTTAGTGCTTTTCCAGTAACATCGTGTAACACAAGAGACTCGAGTCAGTTATGAAAAGCCACGAAGAGCAGCATCTCGGTTTTCATGGAGCACAGGATGAAAGGAGGAACCTGAGTCAGACATTCAGAGAATCATTGGCCCCCAAAGAGGATGGAGAGAAGAATATGTTACCAAAAAGGGTGTGTGTGGCGGGGTGAGGTTTGCCTGACTCCGAGCCTTACTTGACGGCCGCGCTTGTCCTGCTCGGCGAGATCCGAATTTCCCTTTCCAAAAAAGGGACTCGTGGCTCAGCGTGCTTGCCCGGGGTCACAGGGCTAAGCCCTCAGAATTGGAACCCCGCCCAGGGTATCTGAAGCCAAAGTCTCTGCCCTGCATTAATTCCCGCCAAGACCCTCCCCGGAGACTTAGAAGGAGGATCCCGGCGCCTCTCCAGCCTGGTCTGAGGACACGGGCCACACGGTGACGGCAGCTGAGCCAGGACCCCAGATCCCCGTGTGACAAGCTGCACGCACTGGACCCAGCGTGGGTTGTGGTCTCCTGCGATTCTTGGAACCGCCATGCGACTGGGTCACTCTTCCTGGCCTCACCTTGTCTAAACCTCCATCACTCTCACGCGAACCAGACTGTGTCTTCCTGTGTCCACTTCATCGCTGTCCTCCTTCGTCCCCCCAGTGTTAACACCCCAGCGCCGCATGGCTGCCTGAGAGGCTGACCTCCTCC